TTTAGAATCGGAAGTACTATTTCTGGATTGGCCATAGAAATTAGGCGAAGAAGATAGAATTAGTACTTGCAGTGGACCTCCCTGTCAATTCACTGCGCTAACGTATGAAACCCCGGTGGAGGTGTAGTTTCTGTCGACGATGCCCCCGCTGTGACAGTATACCGCCGGCTGTTTGTGTTAGAATTGTGGAAGAATGCTGGTGTTCTCCGTCAGCACATCGTAGCAGTATTGCCGAGACCGACTGACGTCATACTGCTGCGAAGCCGAGAGACTGGCGGGGGTTTTTGCAAAGTAGAATCAAGGCTGCGTTCCGCCAATGCAAGTCTGCCTTGGTTTCCGTCATAGTCGTGGGCCGTGGAAATGGGTAGAAGCCTCTGATCGTCGGACCCTGAAAAAAGATGCAGCGGTATGCTCCGGCTCGGGCAGGCGTACCTGGCTGACATATGCGGAGCACGTATTCCTAAAATGACAATGATCTTCGGAGAAGCTTCAACATCTGGCCAGGCCAGTACGGGCTGGTGGCAGATTGCAAAGGCAGCTGAGCACCTGAGCGCTACCTTGGCAGAGGGCCTTACGTCAGCGCAAGGCAATTCTCCTTGGGGGACCTCAACGTGAGCAATCAGGGGTGACGTTCTCTTAATCGTACACCCTTGATGCCAGGGCTGACCTGCAGTAGAGTTCCGAATGATGGAAGAGGCGGGGGTGAGTGACCAATTAAAGCCCGACTAGTGGACACGGGGCGTACTTCCGGAGGTTCTGACTGGCCAGGAATAACACATCTCTGCGTCTGACCCAACGGGAGCTGGACGGGCTTAAGGGGTCTGGGGCGTGTTCCAAGAAAAGGTGAGGAAAGAAATGGAACTTGCGGGATTGGCAATGGATAGTTGTGTCTAACGACTCTTCTGGGAATGAGGGTGAGATATCTGTGGCGGTGAGCTGATGGTGATGCGACAGATCGATAGACTTCCGTTTCGGGTTGAAGTCGTCTGTGCCAAAATCTGGCCGTAGCCGGCTGTGTGAGAGGTATGTGTCGCAAGTGTGCGCGTCTGCCTAGGTATGTTGGACGGTCGTTAGGCACGATATGGAAGAAGCCGGTTTCGTTGAAGAACACTGTGAATCGGCGATGAAGAGAGTGCAATCAGCCTTGCATCCGCGCCATGATGAAAATGAGCCGACATTTGAATTTGAGTAGTCGCGACTTGCAAGATGCGAGGGAGTTGGTCACATAATACGGTAAATCGGCATATGCCGGTTGGCGGCCGAGACCTTCACTTGTGCCGATGACACGGCAAAAGCAAGATCGCGGGCTCTTGATAATGCGGACTCCTCTTGACGTGACTGGTCGTTTTGCGGCCCGTGTGCTGCATGGTAATTGGCTCCTGTGGCTAACCCTTGGCCTCTTGTATTTTCTGTTGACGAATGGAAATGATCATTTGCCAACATCCGAATGAACCCAACCTATGAATACGCTTCGTTGCTTTGTTGTTCGTTGCGGTCCTGCGGAGGTCTTGGACGCGGCCCGGGACAATGGAGCCTCGAACGCGCTGTTCTCAGTCCAAATGGTAAAGCAACCTGATTACTTTCGGCCAATGGGTTTGGAGGGGGCGTTGAGGACAGGGTTGCTTTGCTTTTCGTAATGGTGAGTATTTCTTTGCTGACGGCTTCTCTGTTTGAATATACCTGTCATTTGGGAGTTGGGCACCATGCGACGTCAGAACAGACCAGATCAATGGAAGTACCGTGTGACATAAGCAGCGTGGTGTTCATTGGTCGAAAAGAGGCGTCGTAGGTGGCGGGGAGAAGAATGTCACTCGTTGCTGCCTCAGACCTCAACCTCATATAGCTGCATGTCACATTGCGTTTTCGGTGTGCTCGGTCGTGGAAACTCTACACAGTATAGAATTTCTATGGGGTTTGTGCACGGATGGCCGCTACTGCTATCGAAAGAAGAACGAAAAAGGAGAAACACAGCCTTCGTTCAAACGTTGATCGGTGCGCTCTTTCCATTCAATTACGCCGTCGTTGGAAGTTCCGATGGAGCTCAACATACCTACTCTGGTCCAGGGCAACCCTCATTAAAGCGCGTTGATGTGCTAGAACAACCTTTCCATAGGCACGCGGTAAATGGCTCAGCGAAAATCCGCAACGGTCAGCCCAGGACTAAAGGTAGGGAGACACCTGCCACCATCATCGTGCCAAGGGTACCATAGGGGGCCTATCCAACAGCTGACCATGTGCCTGTGGTAATAATCAGGGCAGAAAGAAGGGTTTGGCGATTCCAATTCTATTATTGATTCATTGTTTCGGATTTCCGATCTTGGTGGCGATGGCCACCCAGATTGAAGATGCATATGGCGATCCACGTGACACGGATGGTGCGACCAGAGGGTAAAGTCCCCGGACTTTTGCCCTGGAAGGAGGGAGCCACCGGTCATTGTGGGCACCACCATCAAGAGTTCCCGAAGGTCTAGGTGCGTCCATCGTCCCTTCCAGCCCTGCGTTGCCTGTCTGGAATCCGCAGAGTCGGGGGCCGGCGCGCACACATCCACTCAAGAGACAGCAGTGACCGGTGGAGGGCACCTTCTTCGGGTTATCTAGTGTCACCCCCTCCCTCCACAGAACGCTGGAAAGGGACACGCCCCCCAGACGTGCACCCCACTTGCCTTTTCGATTGACTCTGATCCCAAGAACCCTGCCGCTTTCTGGAGATCAGACCAAGCAGATTGCGAGCTGATGTGGAGCCATGCCTTGTCCGCCCCGCACGATTCAGCCAGCACCCCGAGCAGCGTGAACGTGCCCTCGCCCATAGATTTTGGCTCACATCCTGACCGCGGAGGCGGTTTTCTTCCTCGAGGCCGGGGAATAGAATAGCCCTTGCTGCGAAACATCTTGTCCGTTGTGCTCGAGAGGAGTGCTGTCTTTCTAAGAAGAAAGGCGCGGTATTGGTGGCGACAGGTCACGAGGGCTGGTTGTACGTCTGTCACCGACACCCAAATCACTTACACTCTTCCACTCACGATCATCCAACTCTCACTTGCATCGAGGACTGCGCAGCGGAACCACACATGGATTGTGGAAAAACACTCGTCCTTAAGTGTGAACGTAGCCGCGGCCTTGTACTGTGCGTGTTTCTCTAAAAAAAAACGTGAGTACTACTCTCTCACTGCGTCGGTTTCTGACGGAGGTTGTCGTCATACCTTTTCCCAATTTCCGATCGATCGATCGATGCCTCAGCCAATCACACTCCACCTGCCTTGTCGACATATACAGTCTTGTACCTACACAATTTCAGGGTCCAACATTGAGCAGAAGTCAAACACTAACCCACCACCTGCAATCAGTATCGTCCACATCCTGCACCATTACGTCCCTCTTCATCCACTTGAACAAAGTGGACACCACCGACATAACGGCTTGCACAACGACAACCAGATCTCCGACTTCATGTCGCCCTCGAAAAACTTCACATAGCAGCGCAAGCATCGACGCAGAATCCGCCAATCTAGCCAGGCGTTTTGATGTTGTTAAGATGTCCGAAGCTCAGCCTACTTCCCGAGGTGGGCAGCTACCGACGACGCCGAAAGGACATCCGCTACCACGTCGGAGCTCGCCGGAGCATTCAATCACATTACGAAATCATCGTTTAGCCCACGAAGCAACCGAGAAAGCTGCATTAAAGCGAGCCATAGCCGCAGCCAGTTCGGGGTCGTCATCATCGCCAAACAGGCAGTCTTCTGGCGAGAGTCACAACACTGTCCCCAGCGATCCCGAAAAATGGTTCGACCAAAACAACGAAAATCCTACCACAACATACGCTGGCGCAATGGACGGTAAGAGCCCTTGAACCACCTTTCTAGATGAAGGTCTAATTCCAGGTTCAGTCGACCCCCCATTCTTCCAAAAAGAGAGCGATTCATCCAACGACGATGCGAAACCATTGACGTATCCGACGCATTTGAGGCCGCCCATGGACGGACTGATGGGCGGGGCCAATAAGCCGAGTGCCACCCATAGCAGCAGCGCAGACGATTATCGAAGCGTAATCGACGATTTGACGGTCGAAATCAAAAGACTCAGGGATGAATTGAAACGATACAAGCAGAAAGGACCGGAGATGATGAAGAGGGATAAGCTGTTCGAAATCAAGGTTCACGGACTTCCCAAGCGGAAAAAAAGAGAACTAGAGAGCACTTTGCGCGAATTCGCGTCAGGTCTGGAAAGCAGCACCCCAAGTGCCGAAGCTTCGTCGTCCCGAAAGAAATCGAGACACACCGCCCACTTGCACTCGGGGTTTGGCTACGCGTCGAAACATGCGTCGTCTTCATCAGGCTCCCATTCGAGGCCGGTCGATTCCGCATACGCCTCGATGTCAACTGGCGCTCACTCGTCTGGCACACACCTCGCCCAGGCATCAGTCAGTTCCAGAACGAAATCGTCGGAGCAGAAGGTGGAGAACTACCTGAAGGACATCCCCGAGGGATTATACCCGCGTCACATGGTCTTGACAGATAAGGACAGGAAGAAGTTGATTGTTCGTCGCCTGGAGCAGATTTTCACTGGAAGAATTAGCGGACGGAACCTGGCTCGACCCCAGCCTAAGTCCGCAGCGAACATCGCTTCCTATGCCCCCATCATGGTGGAGCCGACAACCGGTAACACCACTACTCACCATGGACCATCCAACGTCCCCCGAGGCTACTTGGAGCCTTCGCGTGAGGCTCCCATCCTCGCATCGGAAGGAAAGAAGACAGTCGCCAAAGATGGTGAATCGTCGAACTCAAACGGAGACCAGCCAGAATCTGGCGGCAATTGGATACTCACGGCGGACAACAGCACATCACCGCCTGATCCTCCGCCACCAGAACAGCGCCCCACCAGACCGCTCGACCTCGACCCGGACCGCACGCAGAACCCGTCCGCGAATATGGACTACATTCGTCACTTAGGCCTCGCCCCTCCGCACTTGACGGCTTTGACAATCGACGGCGACGTGTCTCCAGATGCAGATGGTTGGGTCTACCTCAATTTACTTTGCAATATGGCTCAGTTGCACATGCTTAATGTTGCTCCTGATTATATCCGGAGTGCGGTTTCCGAGAAAAGCACCAAGTTTCAACTTTCGCACGACGGTCGCAAGATAAGATGGCGCGGTGGTACGGAGGGAACCAAGTTCAGCAGTGACAGCTCAGGTAACACCTCTCAGCTCAGTCGTTCTGATGAGTCTGATGAGGCACAACCCGATAAGCAGGGCAAGAAACGCAAGCATCGCCAGGTGAGGAATGGGTCTTACTCCACTTCTTTCGGAAAGAATCCATCCGATCAATCAAAGATGGGGCAGCCGATTCCGTCGGCAGACACCTTCCACTACAAGCCACTTTTCGCGCACCATTCGTCCTCTGCTGAGCAGACCTCACTGGACGACGCTAACTCGTCATTTGGACCCGGCGAGGACAGTAACAATGGTGAGTCCCGGTGGGACGGGTCGGGATCATCCCGTCGCAAGAGGCGTCGGTTGGACGGGGCTATCATCTACTACAGCGGAGCTCCCTTCTGTACCGATCTTTCTGGCGACCCTGGCGATGTATCCCCTTCGTCGTACATGACTTCATCTGGCCAGGATCAGCAATTATCCAGTGCTGGATTTCTTAGACCGGAACCACCTCATCGAACCGAATCAGGCTCAGCTCTTGCGTACCGACCCCTGGTCGAAGGCCCCAGGGCACCGAGTGTGGCTGTCACCACAGAAAATGGATCAGCCGACAGTGAGGATGGTATAGAGGCCGATTTTCCATGGTCCGATGTCCCTCAAGATGCTGCCAGGAGCAGATTGGACGCTTGCGGTCTGGGAGGTGTCATCCCAGATGATCACTTCATGGTAGTCGCTACCACGAAGAGACAAAAGATGGAGGCGAAACATGATTCACCGAGCAAACTAAAGCCCGAGAACTTCTCTAAGCTGTTGAGCAGGATCACATCCCCATTAGGCTCTTGCTCCCAATCAACGTCCACGAGGCCCGAATCTCGAAAGCGATCACCGATTAGTATCGAGTATACATCGAGGTCTGTTCGGAAGCTCAACCCCACACCTCTACCGCCCCCAGGATTATACTACGCTTTTGACAGCGATACCTCTGAGACCTCAGAAGATGATGACGACTCCGATCTGGATGACGATCTGAAGATAACGAGTGGTGCGCGAGTTCACGCACCCGTAATTGAAAGCCAGTATGAAGATGGTCAGATGTCCAGCGGTGACGAGGGAGACAGCGAGCCGGACAATGGAGATGACATGGCAGGGGTTGCAGAGGATGAAGAAAGTGGCGTGGATTTCAAGATTCCCATTCCCCCTCGAGATCTTCGCCGCACCAGTAGCAGTAGTGCAGTTGCAGCTGCCGGTACTGCTCGGGGTCGCAGTAATAGTGCCGAATTGCCAGTCGCTGCTACCAGTTCAGCCGCCACCGCCGGAGGAGCTGAGAGCGGCTACAGCAGTGGCCGCGAAGAGAGTGGTTAAAATGAAACGGTGCGGATGGATGTGTGGTCGGCTTGGACTTGGATACTTCGGCGGTGGTGGATCGCTGTATGAGACGCATTGCATGGCGCCTAGGCTCTCGGGATAAATTTTGCGCAAGATATCCCACATGTTCGGAAAGCATTGTTCCACGCTCAAAGTCGTTTTGTACTCTAGAATATGGGTCTTGTCAAACGACGTGTATAGAACGAGCACAAAAGTTTTCGGGCAGCAGGCCGCATTTGCCATGGGGCGTTTCTTCTCAGCGACATATTTAGCAAACCAACCCAAATGATACCCAAATTCTTACTTGCATCCTGATTAAAACACGGGTAGTAGCTTTGACCGTTCGCCCCTCGGAAGCCAACTAAACCGTCTTTTCCTTATTCTGATCTACTGTTGAATCCAAGATATAAAACAGTCAACCATCGTGACGAGCTCAGGAATATATGTATAATGAGCCACCACGCGATTCCCGAACCACACCAGGTCACAGCCACGTAAAGACTGTTCAATTCTGTCAATATATCGAGGTGCGGAAGTCGCAGACGGTATCACCCATTTCATAACCTGTAGGACCATAGGGTCAGTCCCATATCCCACACAACCTACGCACTAACACCAATATTTCTTGCTACAGCCTCGAATACTCACCGGTATCAATGCACATAACGACTTAACTAATCTATTTGTGCTCCAGTATCAAGATTCCATCCTAGATTTCGCTCTACGCCCCTCGAAGCGATAGTCGGCTTAGACAGCACATGTGGAAAATAGGGTGAGATTTATGTACAGCATAATAACTTCAACCCTTGGCGACCTAACGGCACCGATCCCCAATACCGAAAAAAGCACATAATGGCACTAATACGTTTCTTTCTGCTTGCATGGATAGTGTGTCGTTTCAAATTTCTCATCTGTTAGCCCCCTTTTTCTCGTCGCCCTCTGCCTTAGCTGTACTTCTTACTCGAGGGGAAAAGTTGCATGGATGGACCAACGTAACGGCGCCAATCGTGAGAAACAAAATTGCCCCGTCCGAGCCGACAAACACCGGCTCGTTGCGCATGCCATCCTTGGATTTAGCAAGTACATTTTCTTGGTTATTCTGCTCGGGAAGGGGGACCTACGAGGTTTGAGTCTTATATAACAGAATACGCAACGACAGAAATGATTGCGAGTACCAGAAATCACATGTATGCGCAATGGACAATGACGGCCGCATGGGCGACTTCTAATGCGGATACGAAGGTCTGGGCTCGCCGCGCTTGCTTTGGGGTCGGCTAACGCTCGGGACAGCGGAACTTCGCCGCTATCGCGAACCAGTAGGCCGACCTTGTCGTCGGATTCCATGGTCGCGAAGAGCGGTTACCTATTAGCTTTGTCCATAGAACTGGCATATATTTATAAAGCCATCACTCGTAAGACTGCAAGTTATCCATGTTTTCCCAATAGAATTTGAGAAGGACGGTAATTGCGCCACCAGAGGTTCAGCTGCCCAAGGATTAGCTCAGATAATTCTAGTAGTTAAAACGTATAAGGCGTTCCTAAACTCATACGAGTCTCCACTTTGGCGTCAGGGGAGGTCCGTTCATCTGCCGGCTCGGGGTGGGGCCTCGGACCCCAAAAGACTTCCGGACCCGGGAGAACTCCCTCACCATCTACGTGTCTGCCTTAACCCGCCCGGCAGAGAGACGTCAATTGCTCCTCCAAAGTCCCAGAGTTTCTTTATTCTACGTATCTTGCGTCTTGTCTTCTTCTCGCCGGCCCCAATCTGAGACGTCTGGTCTCTACGTCCGTCCCCGCACCCTGAATCCCGACTCGCCTATTTCACGGAAGCCAAGCTTTTGATGCTCGCGCTTGCTGGGGGTTGGAAGACCCGAGAATGAGGGCGGTGGCAGTGTACGATCAACAACAGCATGGCCATGGGGCGGCTGCGCAGGCTCTGGGTGACAGGCCGTTTACCACCCCCGATGGCACCAGCGCCGCCCTGAGAAGCGGGAGCGGGAGCTAGAAGCACAAAATCTGGTCCCTCATACGGTGGTAGCCACAAATTGTGCTCTAGATAACGAGCTGGGATGTTTGTGAGACAATGCAGCGGGGGCCTACCGTGTCACTTCAAGTAACGGTAATGAAAAGAAGGTGCTAGAGTGGGCTGGTCAAAAGATGTTTCGGCCGTTGCTCCGTCTCAATTGAATCGCGTTGTGACCTAATACAATACAATGATTGTCGTTCGTTGGTGATCCTTTATATTGTCACCTATTAACTCTTGAATTATGCTCGCTATGTAGGTGAAGTCGTCACGAAAAGGACCTGGAGGCAACGTTGGAACACGTAATTTATACTATTTGCCTCCAATGTTATATTATCATTAGTTGTCTTATTTGAACTAGTACGTAAGACAACGTTAGACAAAGACCATACCCTCATGTATCTAGGCTTTTACATTTCATGTTAAGAACAATAAAAAGTGTACAGGAGGTAGCAATGAGTAGTACCAGTATCTAGAAGTCATTGCAAAAAGCCCGGATCGAGGACGTAGGTGAATTGACCTTACCTCCCGGGAAGGTAGAATTGGAAACCTGACAGCAGGGTAAAGTGCATTGGTGTGTAAGGTATTCTTTCCTTACAGTTGTCAACTAAAGTGCTTCATTGTGAGTTGAACTCTGATAATCTCTCAGAAATCAGATGCAAGTTCTTCTCCACATTATTATCTTGTTTCGCATACGTTGAAACCAGCGACAAGTCCAGCAATAAAAGCTGCGTGCTTGGGCCTCACGCACCCATCCCACTCAATAGACTTCTTTCGCACAACGCTCAATCTTCGTTTCCAACTATTAGTTGGAATACAACGTTATTCCAAAGCAGAATAGGAGAATCATGCCGGGTAAAGAGAGGCAGAGTGAACTCTGATCAACAGAGGCTGAGAAAATAATATTCATGGGTACCCGTGGGTTATTTGGGTAACCCAAAAAACTAAACCTGATTTATGGGCCACCATTGGAAGCTCGAGTTTAAGTCTACCAGAGGATGAGGTTGAGAATCAAAGAAACCATTGTGGGATGAGATTAATTTGGCTACAGTAAGCGGCATCGCTCAACGAGTCTTCGCAAGTCCGTTCATTCCTTTCTTCCGTTCATAGGGTAAGAGAATGCAACTGGCGAGATGGGTCCCGAATTCGTTCGTTCAAAAAGTTTGCCGCTTGAGTCTGCGTTTAAATTCGCCAATTAAGGCGGTCTTGCTAGAGGTCGATCGTCAGGCAGCAGAACCAATGCTTGCAAGTAGAAGATGGCCAGGTACGAGTGCCGAGACATAACGTCACATCTTCAATGTAATTATTGGATATCTTCTAGTCGTCATCTTCCTCAACATCCGGCTCTTTGATAGCATACCCCTCCACAAACCCATCCGGATCACATACCCTCTCAAGACTGATGCCATTAGCAGCAACCCACGCCCAAACAGCCGCCTTATCGACTCTGACCCTCGGAACATCAGGCCGCGGCTCAGGATCCGCCTCCTCCATCTCGACATCCTCGCCCTCCTCCGCCGCATCCTCCGCCTCGCCGGCCCCGTCGCTCACCCTCCTCCTTCTCCTCTTCTTCTTCTTGGAAGGGGGCTTCCCGGGTCCCTTGCCGGCCTCCACAACAACACCCATCTCTCGCAACGTCGCCAGGCAATCATCCAACGCGATCCACGTCGCCTGGCTACAGTCCTCAAGGTCAACCAGCAACGCCGCATCAGCGTCACCCCCGCCGGCTCTGCCACTGTGGGTCGGACAACCCAGGAGCCACCGCGCGACCTCGCCACCCCAAAAGCGCTTATACCCCTTCCGACCCAGCTCCGAAATGGGCTTCTCCGGCCCGCCCAGCACGCCCTCGCGCCGCGAGATCTCGTACGACACGCCCATCAGCAGCGCGCCTAGGCCCTTTTTCTGCCACGGCGGGAAGACGAGGATGCACGCCAGATTGTTGTTATCCCAGGACATTTTTTCCTTGGAGAAGAAGCCGATGATGTGCGGACGCGGCGGTGGTGATGGCGGCGGCTGCGGCGGCGTTGGGTCCTGGGGGTTTGAAGTTGGCTTTGGGGGAGGAGGAGTGTACACTAGGAGGAAGTAGTTGAAGCCGCGGACGTCGAAGAAGACGGACTTGTTGTCGAGGAAGAGCTTGGCGAACAGGGAGAGATTTTGGCAAAAGAGCTGCGCGCAATTTGTTAGTGAGATGTGCTTCACTCGAGTAAAAAAAGAACTCGTGCCCCTTTCCCTCACTGAGCAAATCGAAAAGGGGGGTGCCACGGTCGGGGCTTTCACTCACCACATCCTGCTCGCCATCAACTTCCCATACGCTCCACTCCCCCTCATCCGTGACATACTCCTCCGTGTATTTAGGCGCGACATTCGTCTTCTTCCCCGTCGTCCTCGCAATCTCCTTGCGCAACAGCCTGCGGCCCCGCGGGTGACGATAGACCTTTCTTCCCGGCACCACCCCGGCGCGCTCACACATACGGACGTGGCCCCACCACGCCACCAGCTCCTTGGAATATTTGAAGCACATGGGGCACACGTATAACCGGTCGAGCATGGGAGCGTCGCCGCCCTTGCGGTGCTGATTCTTTGCGCCTGCGCCTGCGCCGTTGTTGTTCGCGCCAGCCACGCTGTCGTGAGCTAGCGGGTTCTTGCTCCCGCCGCCGCTCTTTGCGCCCGCTGCCTCGCCGAGGACTTCTTTGCCGTAGTAGGATGGGTACCACGCCCGGAAGCAAATGTTGCCCAGCATCACCTTGTCGATATTCCGATCGGTCCGCGGAGCGGACTTATCTGTCCTCGGAGGCGGGGCTGCTGGTTTAGAGGGGGTCGGTGTTGGATGTACCGGGACGGGGACGGCGGTAACGGTGGCGGGAATCGTGTGGTAGGGTCGTGTCGTTACTGGTCGGAAGTGATGGGTAATGGGCGGTTGGCTTGTGGGAGGGCTGGGACGGACGAGGCTGCCGGTCCGGTGTGCTTGTGTCTGCGGTGCCTGATACGTAATCTTTGGCGCGACCAGCGTCACGGGCCTGACGTTTTCCTTTGCGTCTTTGAACGCCATCTTGGGTGACTCAGTTGCGCTCTCGCGTCGTTGACGAGTCACACGGGGTTCTTGCGGCGTATGAGTTGAGAGCTGACCGGCCGGCCGTGGTGCAGGCGGCGGCTGCTGCGATAAGTGCGACGCCGCCGACAACGAAGACGTGGGCGGCACGGGTATGGGTATGGGCGTCTCGGAGATCTTGGACGGTGGATGTGGCTTGGAATTCGAAGGACGACGTCCGCTGGTCCGCTTGTCCTCGGCGGCGGCGGCGGCAGCGGAGGAGTGCAAGGGTTGCGGGTGCGAGGCGGTGGCGGAGGTCGGGATCGGAGGGGGTAGAATCGGAGTTTGACGCGTTGCGCGACGCGTCGTCGGATCGGCGGGTGCGCTGGCGGCGGCGGCGGGGATCGGGGGTTCGGGCTCGTCGTGGGGTCGCTTGCGCTTCGCCGGCGCCATGCTCGGGTGGGCGAGCAGGTTGTGTAGATGTGGAAGTGCAATATTGCGGTCCAACAACTCACAAAGGATGCAGTGAGAGTCCCGGAACGCGCGATGAATCAATTAAACTTTGGGACCTCGTGGGCGGGAGCGACCTTGCAGGGGTAAAGGGTTGAGTCTCACGGGACCACGAGCGTCGAACCGAGACAATTCTCGAGAGTCTTCAATGTGGGAGCATGGGAAGTTGTCTCACACAGTCAAGGGCGACGAGTCGAGTCACGAGCGCGAGGCGCTGCGATGGGAATATCCTGCGCGCAATCGGTGTTTCAATTGACGATCTGTTGTTGGTTGTCGACCCGAAACCTCGGCGTCCCAAGCAATGACGTTGAAGCTTACATAAGGCACCATTCTTTCCTTATCGGGAGATAGGCAGTTACCCCAAGCCAGCCCTCGCTACCTGCATGGGCAAGAAAATTCCCGTTCGAAAAAACAAAAGCGATAATAATTCTCCGAAAAAAGTAAAACTCCACGATAATTTGCAAAAGCAGAAAATTAATCTCCCACAGCAAAATATGAGGTCCATCCAGGATTCGAACCTGGGCCTACGGAAGGTTCTGAAATCAGAATCCGACGTCCTAACCAACTAGACTAATAGACCTGGAAACGCTTATTGGCAGTTATTCGGGGTGGAATTCTTGACGTTCATCATTCTCCATCCGTGAGTGGAGTCTTTGCCGATGCTACTCTCATCCCCACTGTCACGGCCCAGATTGACCATAGTCCTCAACTTTGACGAAGCCCTGATTCAATACGCCGGCTAGGAGAGGCTTCAGCGTTTCCGCATCGTGCAAAACGGACCTTGGGCATTCATCACCCGAGTCAGCGTGTCATCGTTCTTATCCCAATCTTTGACAAGGAGCTGCTGTTTCCGCCGAGCCAGGCCAGCGTCGCGATTGCGATAGACCGAGTCAATTTTGCGCACATCAGTCTTGTCACTGGTCATCCAACGCACCTCCTCGTTGAGGAACCTCGCATAGGTCATGCTGGCACCGAATTTGACCTTGACGTTGGCTTCGAGGTGGGCATCGACCGCTTTGGCAATGGCCTTGTCGGTTTTTGTTGGTGCCGACACCGAGTGGAGCTCTGGCATTGTCGAATCTACCGACGGATTGAATGTTGGCTCCTTCCGATTCGGATCAGGCAGGATGGAGTCAGCGCTGTAGCACAGCAAGGAGCTGTTCAAGACAGCGGCGTCGATCTCTCGCAACTCTGGCGGTGTGATCGGGCAGTGGCCGAGGTTCAGGTACTCAAGAGTGTGATTTGTCGACAAGAGCTCGCGGAGAACTGGCGCAGCGGCATTTTGGATGTAATTCCATGCTTGACCGAGGTCGAGGGTCGCATACGCCTGGCCTACATCCAGCATGCGCATACCGGGATGCGACGTGACAGCCTGGAAGATGTCAATGGCGCCGTCAGTAGTCAGACCGGCAGACTGGAGTGACAGCCGCTGGAGTTGAGGGACCTGGCGAATTACGGAAGCAAGAGCCTGCGCGCCATGATCGCCCAGTGGGTTGCATGACAGGTAGAGCGAGGCGATTCCGCAGGCAGGAGAGGATAAGAAAGCGGCAATGGCGAAGGCCGCCTTGGTCGAGATGCCGTTTCCATTCAGGTACAAGTTTCGCAGGGGTAGTTTCTTACGGCCGGGAACCGCACAGGAGAAAGCTGTCAGGCGTCGAAAGAGCTCTGCAATGCCGGCATCACCGAGCTCAGTCTGGTCGAGGTCCAAAGTGCGGAGGTTTTTGGTCTGAGTGATGAGCCGGAACACATCTGCAGCGGCGGCGGGACCTAGTGGGTTCCGTTTCAGCCAGACGTTCGTCACTGCGTCTGAGTCTACCAAGGCGTCGACGAGGACCCTGAAGCTGGTGGCGTCGATGCAATTGCCTGCCAAGTACCAAGTATCCATGCGTTCGGGGAAGTCGCGGATGAAGCGCGCGATCTCCTGTGCCCCAACCGGGCCAATAATGTTGTTGCCCAGCAGGAAGTGTCGTACGAAGGGGTTCGGCCGTAAGCTGTCCATCAGACTGCCAATGTGGTCTGGGCCAACGACCATTTTGCACAGATCCATCCGGCCGTCCTCGTAAACCACACCTTTGCGAAACTCTGCGCCTTTGACACCATAGAAGGGCTCGCCTTTGCCTTCCTCAAGGTCTGCGCCGTCGGAAGCCTCCTTCACCACGTGGGTGCCACCATGCTCGAGGTGGTTGAAGAACGGAGCCAGGTCGGCGCCGTCGGCGACGGAAACGGGCATCGGGATGGCTTTAGTGCCAGCGAGGGACACGGGGAATTTGGACGGGTTCCACGGGCCCTGAGCAAGGATGCGGGATGCCCAGACAGGCGCATGCACGCCCGGGGCAGCCCCGCCGGTCAAGCCGCGGAAGCTGTGGCCATTCCGTTTGGTGGCGGCAAAGATGTCGTGTTTCCGCTGCAGGGCAACCCATGCACGCAACCTCACCCTCGCGGCTTCGTACCGAATGACGGGTGACACAGCATTATCGTGGGTGGCGGGATACAACAGCGCTGCGACGGCCTCGGCAAGACGAGATCGCGCAGATTTCCGGCGCGGGAGACTGTGCAGTTCGTTTGACAGGCGAATTTTGTCCATGGGCAGCGCAAGAATCTCATCAGCAGTATACGATTTTGAATGATTGAAGTCTGGCATTTCCGCGTCGAGAAGATTGAATGCCTCTCGGCAAAGAGCCGCTAGGCGAATTGCTTCGACCAAGTCATCTTGAGTGGCATTGGTGCAGTCAGCCGTGTTGTTGGTGGGCACGGTGGGTGTCATGACATAGGGCTGATGGCGGCTGTCATCGCCCATTATTGATGATGTTGATGTAAGCTGAACCGTAGCGGCGGAGGCCATTTTCGTATCAAGTATTGGAGCCACTACTGATGTGTGTTGGGAGGGTCTGGTGGCCTAAGTCTTGATTTTGGCGTGTTTGCGTTGGTACTTTGCTTCCAACTACTCGACGTGAACCAGATCTGACACTTATATGTTCAATATGATGAATTCCTGATAAACAGGTTCGCTGTTTTATTCCAGTTCTCGAGTTCTCGTCCGGAGTGACTCAAGGTGTGTAGACGAGTGTATCTTCCATTCGCTTCTCCGCACGGCTATGGCCCGAGTCGATTCACGCTCACTCTGGGGCCGGCTATGGCTTCACCAAGGGTAGAGCCTCTAGGCAGCAAGTGGATTGACGAATCAGAAATGCGGTGGGTTGCCCAGAATGGCATCTGCCTTGACTAGGTATGTTGTTGCTGATGTCGTAGCAAGGGCGCAATTGACGAGAGTTTGACATGTCCATGTCAAATCATGTCAAACGTCAACGCAAGGTAGTCACAACATCAGACGACGCATGGCAATGGGCAAGAAGAAGCCACTGGTTCGTTCCGTTCGTTGCAAGGTACTCCAAGTCTCCACCCGCTGTTCTTTCCACAGAGAGGAGAAACTGCCTGGCAAGGGTGGCTAGTGGGTTGGCTGATGACTGATCAAATTATGTGGCCGTGACTGTGGCTGTGTTTGTGTCTGTGGCGGGGCATCTTCCATCCTCACCAGCCACACATTGCGAACCACAACTCGACCTCCACCAGCAACTCTCTCCCGAGTGCCCAGCAACCACCTCCTTCACTGCTCACGACGCTATCCGCACTTGGCTTCGATGCAGTACGTTACCCACCCACCCACACCTTTTTTCTTTCCCCCTCTCCCCTTTACAAGCCGGCACCTCACTCACACCTCGGAGCTTTTCAGCTGCAGCGCAACATCAAACGTCTCCATCCCTTGCCCTTCACCTTGCCCCCCGGCCTTCCTGTGTTGCATCGCATGACGGATCACATTGCCCAGGCCTTGTCTCGTCGCCCGCATTGCAGCCCTGTCTCGTTGCCATTTGCTTTCTGTCTAACTCTGTCACGGAGTCACAGCTGACCGCGACGGCTAGGAATCCACCGCAATCAATCTGTGTTACACGGCCAGACCACGTCAACAAACGCCCATCACGTCGCTCAAGGACCAAACATTGTGTGACAACCACACCCCATCCGTCCCTCAGCGCCGCTATATAACCTGCTCCCTGCGGTTATTAATTTAGCACCTTTGTGATTCGTCGGCTGCACCTGTCTTGACTTGTCTCTCAAAGTCTCATCTCGTTGCGCTTGCGCTAGACGCTTTGCTTTTCTCGCTTTGCTTCTTCCACGGCACACACACTCTCTCTCACGCCATGTCAGAATTCACCCATGCAGCGGTGAGCAGACATCGGAGCGCGCCGGGCTTTTAATATTCGTCAACCGCCCGTAACTCATTCCAGCCGTTTCGTGAATCTTCGGATGGCTTGGGCAGGGAATCCCAGGTTCCTACCAACAGTGAACAAACTTCCGGGAGAGCAATCAGTCCCGCAGGCTGCAGCATGGTCTCGCTTCGTCTTGCTGTCCCCGTTGGCCGTCCTCTCATCTTCGCTTGGACTTGTCTCGTTTCGTTCCGTCATGCAGACGAGGGCAAGAGAATTAAAAAAATGATATATCGTGCAGCATCCACGGCTGCAGCCCGCTCTCATGCGAGCAGCCGACCACTCACAGACCCTCGGGACCACTTTGCTTTTTGCCGCCATACTTCCTCCCTCGGGCATCGACGCATGCGATCAATCGGCAATGCCACAATTTCGGCCGGTTGACACGAGGCTCTGAATCGGCTAGTGACATGCTGGAGGTCCTACCCGAGCCCTTGATTGGAGTCCACATTGCTTTTCTGCATAAGCAGACTGTCGATCTCTTCGGGAGGCATGCAGGGAGGGGCAAGCCATCGAGGCTGTGGGAGACACTTTACGCACGCTAAGAAAAAGATGGTGGTGTGTCTCCCAAGTTCCCGGTCAGGCGGGGTGAGCCTTTTTTTTTTTGGCCTTTTTTTTTTTTTTTTTTACACCCTGAGCACGAGCTGTATAGACGAGGTTAGCCCTACCAACAGCCCTCTGAAGTGTTGTGCGTTGGATGTGACGACGAAGAAGAAAACACTTTTGGCCTTGGCATGTTGGCTGGAGAGGGATTGGCCCGCGCGGGGAGATGCAAGACACCCTGTCTCGGTGTGGTCGAATTGACTGACCGCTCCCCCTTTGGTCCGATCGTTTGGTTGCATCCTGTGCGGGAAGAAGTCTTTCCGTATATATGTAATGGCCTGCTGACGAGTGAGAGGCCAAAGTTCACTCTTTTCTCACGGTTGAGCTGCGTTCCGAAAAGCAAGGCGCTTCCTCTTTCGTCTGATTTCTTGTCCAGCATGTCATCTTTTCCCATGTTTGCTCCCATGCCACGCAGAAACGTGGATGGGCCAGTCTCCCACGCCAAGTGGCCGACAGTCGACGCCTTCCGCTCGACATCGTCACCGTGGGATGTGGATGATTCGACGGCTCAGACCGTCAGCAAGCTCAACTGTGTCTTCGGTTTCCGGCCACCAACCGCCTACGCCAAGCCATCACCTCGAACATCTCCCGATGAAGTATCCAGATATTCTCCTGACCTCCAACATCTACGTCTGGACCAGACCCCCGAACTACGACAAGACACCCCTTCAGATGTGCGGACACGGACGTCGTCTTTTGGACCGGAGACGCCTCCCACCAAGCTGGACTCCTACTTCGCGTCAGAACCGGCCATCCAACCTCCAATAACGAGTCGGCCCGGTCATTCCCACCTACGCTCCCATTCGGACAGCTGCAGCATTCAAAGTCTCTGGCCGGATAGCCAAGGCCCATATCGATTAGGAGGAGGTGAATCAACATCGGTCCATGACCTCGATAACAAGCAACATGCGTACCTTGACGTGGCGGCGTCTCGCTTGGGAGATAAGCCTCATCATCAGCGGCAGTCTCGCGAGGCATCATCTCCTCACCAGAAGTACACCGTCACACTTACCCGCAACAACCGTGCCGTCACCCTCATCTTGATGGCAGGTCGTCCTACAAAGCCAGGTCAAGCATCCATCACTTGCTATCGCCAAACATCCCTTGCGCTCGGTGGTCCTTATGCCGAGTTCTTCAAGGCCTCCGAGGCTCTAGTCCTGTTGCAGCATATGGTGAACGCATCATCAATGTCGTTTGTGCCGTTCAGCAAACGTGAACGCTCTGAACTGATGCTACGCATGCGGACTTCTCCAGACGCCATGATCCTCGGCGACCCTTGTTCCAACGCCCGCGCGTGGACGAGCTTCTTTTCCACAGAGCTTGGTGCCAGACGAGCTTGGGAGGTGGGCACCGTCATCTTTCCATGGAAAGTACTTGAGAAGTTGATGAGCTCCCTGAATTCCGAGTTCGCACGCAAGAGGAGGATGCAATCCCGAGTCGCCGCAGCCTTCAACAGACGAGAGCCAGAAGAACACGCGGGACCTCAAGGACAGGGCGCCGCCTTTCAGGACAGCTACAGCCACTCCTACGACTCTCGTTCCGTGTCACTGCAGCTCGCAAACGCAGAACTCGGCGGCGTACTCGAAGCAGCAGCCGGCGATCGGAGCTCCGTAGCATCTGGCTCGCCTCCTCCTCCACCCCGGACACCGACCGAGGTCCTCCCGCCCAAGCTGCAGCTCGTGTCGGAACAGCCGCGACCTCAGCCTCAGTCTCCTCCAGCCGCGGCGTCGCAAGTCCGACGCAGACGCCAGCATTCGGAACCCGCGGTCCGGCGCCTGAGCCTGACGCCGCCGCGCATTGCGCTGCTAAAGTCCAACCCGTGCCGGCAGAACCTGCGTCGGCTGCACGCTGCGTCGACACCGGCTCGGCTCGAGTTTTATGATTCGATCCGGGCCTGGCCGGCGAGCTCGCATCGAGCGCGGGTGAGGCTGCCGCCCTGCTCACGGTTCTTGGAGATGGTTGAGGACCAGGGGACTGACCCTCATAACCCGATTGTGGTATGAGGCATGGTACTCGGGGACCAGCTTCAGCGTTACGAGCTTCTTCCGTGTTTTCTTTTCTCTTTTTATTCTTCTTCTCTTCTTCTTCTTCTTCTATTGTTTGTGGCTAAAGTAGCCTGTAGAAGATGGGGGAAACCTCGGCTGGGCAAACATTCTACTCCACATGTCAAACACAGTTATTGCTGGGGTTCAAGACTTTAGACGACGGATATTACCTTATGTGTACACGGGAACAAATGGGTTATGAGAAATGGACTATGTGAAATGGAAAATGAATGACAACACCAAACAATGTTTAGAAATAGGCTTTTTGGGGGGGCACTCGGATAGAGAGACAAACAGCATGATGCGGTTTCGCTGGGCGAACCGCTAGGTTTAGATGGCAGGACCCCGGCCGGATGAACAGCAAGAATACGGTGTTCGGAGATGATGAATAACGTCCTCGCGGTTTGTTTCATGTACTACAACTGGCTCGTCGGTCAAGGGCCAGGAAAGCCATGTAAACACGCAATCTTTGAGAATAGATTCTATGCGAAGCATGTATTAACTTTTGCGTGACCTCTCTCTCTCTCTCTTTTCGTTCTGTGAGCAGCAGGCGACGTGTAAATATGACAGCTCCAGGCTCAGCTGGGATGTGTAATGCGTGGAATGCGATTATGTCTCTCGTGCACAAATCGACAACGCGACTTCCGACCTGAGACCAGTGAATACACGCCAGAGACATGAGATTGGTATGCTGAATTGCAGATCGGTTCTAAAACTATCCCCCAACGTCAGCTGAGGGGATTGAGCCCACGACATATGGCATAGGAAAGCCTGACTCGCGCCTCGTATACTTCGCCCCCCTTTCTTTTGAGGGGACTCACTCCAAAGAGCATCTCGCTTCGTCTCTCATAAATGGTAACGTTGAGGACAACACCTCACCCCCCAACGAGAGTTCGCCGCATCGTTGGATGTCAATCACGGTGCGTGGTCGCGATGTGCAGTGGTATATAAACTTCTGTTCATCAAATCATGTTCAAGGTTCTCTTGGCGTCGCTGCTTCCCACGACCGTACGCGCTACGGGAGGTAGCGTGGCACAGGGGGGACGGGACGTTGCCTGCCGCAGGGACCAGGGTCGTCACAGATTATACTTTTCTCTCCGAACGTACCCTACGGAATCAATGGAAGAAAAACACTTGGCTCGCAGTAGTGTATGTAGGTTGAAATCTTGAGACGAACGTCAATGGGAGGTCCATGTCGTTCTCAAGGCCGGGGGAGCCGGCCGCGATCCACTTCTTGCAGGACTCTCATTTCTTAGAGTTTTGGGTGATGGAGTATCTATCCGTGCCGTTTTCCCCGTTTACCAGGTTATAGAATCAATCATCATCCAGGCATTCTCGCTGCTGCACAGGCCGCATGCGGGCGGTGGGATATAAGTCCCCGTCCCACCTCGTCGTCGTGGGGAAACGAGTGACTGGTTAGGTTGGTTGTCATTGAAGCCTCTTGCCAATTACCAAACCTCTTTACTCAACACAGTCGCTCGTTCCAACCCCATCTCTGCTCACTTGAAGCAATTTGACCGCGAATCTCGACACCGACGACTATTGTCCGTAACCGAGAGTCTCAAAACGACAGCTACACAGGCAACGAAAGCAAGAAATGGCCCGCTTAATCCTCGCCCTCCTCGCCGTGACCGGGCTTGCATCGGCCGGTAGCACCCTGGCCTCGCGAAAGGATACCGAAACCAAGCCAGAGGTCGATATCACGGCGCTGACCAAGAATGTCTCGGCGACGTCCGGAACGGGCGCCGTCAGCGCAGCGGGAACGCTGCCGCCGTTTGGGGCTATTGGGGTCGGTTGTGGGATAAACTGGGCCGAGGGGCAGTCTTTTGGCGGTGAGTCTTGAACTTTGAAAGAACGTCTGGCTTGTGGAGGCATGTTGAGAAATTGGAGTTTTTGGAGACGGTGTTGAGGAAGCGGCCAACATGGAACGGATGTTGGGATGTGTTTATATGTGAAGGAACACGGAAGAGATGGAACTGCTGCGACTTTGGAGTCTCAACGGAGAAAAAAGACTTCAGAAGAAGCAGAGGCGGGCAAAATGGCTATTCTTTCTATGAATGTGGTGCAGCGAGCTAACGCAGTCAATTTCCAGGTGGCCTGCAATCCGGCTCCGAAGCCTTTGGTCTCGGCGGTGGGTTCACCATCACCAAGGACAATATGAACATTGGCCTCGGAATCGGCATCAACCCGATCAATTTCACCTCTAGGTAAGCAAAAATCAGCTCGAACCATCTCAATGGGGCCAGCATCGTCCCGGGTTCCTCTCTTCTCGAAACTGGGGGGTAGGGGTGTGAAGGAAGGCATGCGAATCCAATGGCGCTGACACCCACATCTTTTGCACAGCGTCAGCTACGAGGCCTCGACGAACGGCAGCGTAAGCCTCGTCTTCACGGCGACGACGGCAATCAAGTGCGAGGAGACGACGGTTAATGGGGTCAAGGGCGTCAAGTGTACGTCTACCTGATTTGGGCTAGGAAGCCTCTTCAACACGAAACTGTCGCCATTTTGCATTGAGCGTGTCGGAATGCAGATAAGTATTTGCCACCGACATTTTGTCCGGTCATGGGGTACCTCTGAGAAGAATAAGCAACCTTGTTGAAGCTGTGTTACAAGGGTTGCTTGATACTCGAGTTGAGGGTAATGGCGCGGGGGACCTTGAGGCCCGATACTGTGCTAATGGACAACGTTTTGCTACGTCAAGGTATAACGGCCCGCTGACGGTTGTAACCTTGCTATTTGACAACGGTTTGCGAGTTCCTGGAAATGTGGGACACCCCTTTGGATGCCAAAGAGTGTACGCGGAGTGATTATCATCCCTTAACATCGATGGGAAGTCAAGAAGGGACTGGTGGTATGTAATTCAGTAGAATCAGTCGTATTTAATAGTGGTTGAAGCATGGTGTTCCAACCAGACTAGTAACCCACTTTTACACCTCTTTCCTGGTGTTGATCCCAGGGTTTCTGATCTTCCGAGTCAGCTCGAGAGTATATTCAAAGTCCAATACTTTACACAGTGTTAGTCACTCACCAGCCTATTAGTTGGGCCTGACCTTGGTTGAAGTTCAGCCACCTCAGGTCAGTAGAGTTTGCGTTCGGAGACAGCTTCAACTGAACCATGGTTCCTCAGTGTATCAGCCCATCTACGATTCCTCGTTGGTCCAGATGACTGATTCCTTCCCCTTCACTCTGCACATTTAAAGACAGACAGTTCTCATCCTGGCCGTACTATCCTTCCATATCTTCCGGTCATACTGCCCATCTCTACTTCAGTCCATCGGCACTTGCCACTTCCCAACTTCCCATTCAAACAATAAGCAAACGCTTCTTCTCTGCACCAAATATCTAACCCACACCCCTCTCATCATTCCTCTCTCGTCATCTCTTTCGTCATCCCTCCATCGCAGTCATGTATGCCATCATGAATACTCAGACCACCACCAGCACTATGACATCGTGCAAGTCAGTCGCCGCGGAGAGTGTAAGAGCGGGCTCAGCCGCCGCAAGAACAGCCCTCTGGCCCGCTCGCAAATTCCTCTTCCAAGCCGCTACCAAGCTCTCTCATCAACGTCCTCTATACACCACAGGCCTCGCTGGCAGGTATATAGACGACGTCAATGAGAGCAGTGGCTTCTTCGATAGCGGCGATGACTTCTGCTCGGTAGGAGACGAGCAGGAAAACGTTGAAACGCAAGACACCTGGACCGAGGATGACTGCGACGAGATGCTGGATATCCTGAATGAAAGACCACAGCAACTTCCCGTCCCCATCATCATCCTCACCAATCCCGAGGGCGAAATCCTCACCGGCGACGACATACCCCAGGGCAACACAGTCCATAGGTCCCGCGAGGCATGCCGTCTGCACCGGCAATACGTCGCCGATGTCGAGAAGTACCTCTGCCCTGGCAACTGGAAGCAGATCCGCGACGCCAACCGCCCACAGCCAAGGGAAAGCTGGACGGCGCGCAAGGCCCTACATCAGAAGGACTTGTTCATCGTGGAGCAGAAGAGCGGCAAGCGGCACCAGCAGCACGCGTGTGCGAGGCACCGCGATCAGAACCGCTGGCTCAGACGGCAACTCGAGCAGGCCGAGCGGCTTTGGCAGCTTCAGGAGACGGAGGTGGGGGCGCAGAAGAAGGACCGCCGGGCGCGGATCAAGACGCTGAAGCGGATCGGGGCGAAGGGCGATATTGAGTCGTGGAACGAGGAGATGGATCGGCAGCAGGAGCAGGCGGAGAGAACTGTTGCGAAGCTGAGGGAGGAGCTTCAGGAGAAGATGGAGATGGCTTTTGGGGCTGGAAGTGAGGATGAGGATGAGGAGTGAGGAGTGAGGGAAGAGCCTTCTCTTCTTCTTCTTGGATGTGAGAGATGTCTTCTGCTGGTCGCCAGACGGATGATGATGATGATGTTCATGAGTTATGTTGTTGGCGCTTGCCAGGCTTAGCTTGGTTTGGTCTGGACTGGTCTGGGATGCACCATTGTCGAGCACTTGCTCCACGAATTGACCGCTTGCTGTTACTCCTCGTGTGTTTGGTCTCGTGCTTCGATGCCTCCTTGTGTTTTCTGTAATCGACGTTACCCAAGAGTCTACGATGTGACTGCTGCAGAGCCTCAACGGCACGGTTGTTCCGTATGTCGTTGCGCAGACTGTCCACGTGCAAACACCGTCCCAAGTCGTGTTTGCAAGCACAACAGGTGTATCGTCTGACGCCGGCATATTAACGCTTGCGTGTGCCTTTTTGCCCTGAGAGGGAGGCAGGAAGATGACGATGACAAGACGGTTCCTCCTGTACCCCAAAGCTCTAAAAAGAACGGACATTCCCTGTTTGTTATTTCCTGTATCAATGCAGAAAATGCCAATCCTTCCGAGGCTTCGCCTGTACACCCAGCAGCAACTTACACGGGGCGTAAAGCGGGTGACATGATGGTTCGCGCGATGGCTGTGTTTTTAGCATTCATCCATTTCATCGTTCTATCTTTCCTCCCGGGCAACTCGTTGTTGGGAGGTTCTTTCACGCAAACGACGTCAGATTGCCTAGGGTCTTATCGTCTGTTTATGGTCCCCGGGGGATCTTAGCAAATTGTCAGTGTCCGGGAAATGCGGGGAAGGCGAACCGTTCGTTGGGTGTCCGAGCTGATAAGTACATAGTTACAAGCAAGCAAATAAAACTACACAGAAGCCAATCCCCGCGCGAATCGATTATTGGTTGGAATCAATGCAGCAGTTGCGCTGCTGAGGTTGCTGCCACCCGCGTGACAATGTGTGCTGTAGCTCTACATGACGAGAGAACATGCAGTTTAGACAAGGGCAAAGAGGCAGGCAGGCCCCACGGGAGAAATCCGATCCATGACCCCACAGTCGCGCCGGGCCCAGGGCCCACTGGCACTGAAGAAAACCCGACCGAGCGACCGAGCGGCCAATCCGCGTCGGCCGGCTCCCAACTTCGACCGGGGCGAGCGGGGGCGGCCAAATGGGAAGCGACCCCCCTCTCCCACCGTGCCACCTTGAGCCCATCACCTCACTCTGCGTTCATCATCCGACTCGGCACCCGTTTCGCGCGAGAAAGTAACGTACTCTCTCGCTTTGCTCCCACAATACATACGCCAACACCGCAGGCACCTCACCTTAGAACGACCACACCCACTTCGGGGACTTGCAGCCTCGATCATCCCCGGATCTTCCACTCGTTCCTGTTCCCCTTTGGCCCTGCCTCGCCACCACTGCGCAGCGACGTCACGACAACCAGCTTCGCCGTGATTGTGTACACTGTCACGAGCAGCAAGCGAAAAGTCGCGTGGTTCGATTTTGGTATCGAGACGACGGGACTTTAAAGACGGACTTGGTCGCAACCCAGCCCCCCGTCAAAAGACACGCCACTTTTGGGGTCTTACATTAGCTTGCCTACCTTGCCTTGACCTACCTTTCATCAGGTAGGCCCTCTTCGTCCCTCAATCTTGAAACGCAAGCTCCGAGCTTCTTTTTGCTGGCTCAGTCGCAAAATTATACGTATATAAATCGTAAAATTCCACTTTTTGTATACCCCGCCGCCACGACGACAATGGCACCTGAAGTACTTCAACAAATTGCCGTAGGTGGAGGACTCCCAGTAACCAAGATGCAGGACCCAAAAGAGAAGTTTTATCATCATTTCCAGGAGGAGGTAACCAGTACGTTCTACCCTCAAATAAGGACCGAATGGTCGTTTGATATCAATTTTTTACTGGGTCGAATACTGATCAGGACCCCGCCGTACCAGGTCTACAAGAGCAAATAGCCAACGTGGGCTCCATATCCCAGGTCGGTGGTGAGAGGCAGGACGCCATTGATCACATCCTGGCCGGGATATCGAATCTCTCCAACGAAGTCGCCGACGCTTCCGACTATGTCCCTTCGTACGACCAGCGCAATTATGCCCAGGTGGGTTTGGACCATGAGCACAGACTGACTTACTCGGCACCGCTGGAGCCTCGAATCACTGCTGACCCCTCCTTCATCAGGCCGTCAAAGCTCTCACAGACAAGCTGAATGAGACTACGGCGAAGCTGGTGCCGCGGTCGCGCTTTCAATTCAAGCCTCGCGGAGCGAGCTCGGCCACTACCCCCAGCGATCCAGCCGCCCCCAAATATGATCCCCGTCTCATGGTAGGAAGCAGCCTCGCCGACCCCCTCCCCCCATCCCGGGGCGGCCCGGTCATCGCTCCCCCCGACGTGGACCAGGCCGCCGCCGCCTCCGCCGAGACGGACGCGGACGGCCTCGGCGACCTGCCAAATTTCCCAAAGAACTATAACGAGGAGATGGCCCGACCGAGCGCCACAAAAGTCCGAAAGCCCAGCTTCTCCACCGCCAAGGACATTGCCATCTTCGGCCAGGACGGCCTGCACATCATCCTCCCGTCGTCGGCGTCGAGGGCGACGAGTTCCGGTCGCTTGACCGATCTCAGGGGCTGCGTCGTAGACATGTCCATCGCGCTCTCCGGGCACACCTCCTTTGCGAACCTGGCGCTCAAAAACATTGACAAGAGTCTCATCGTCGCGGGCAACGTAGCCGGGCCGGCGCACATCACGGGCGTCTCTGACAGTATTATTGTCGTCTCTGCTCGGCAGGTGCGCATCCACGAGTGTAAGAATGTCGATATATACCTGCATTGCTCGAGCCACCCGATCATTGAGGATTGCTCCAATATGCGATTTGCGCCGCTGCCAGCCAGCTTTGTAAGTTGGAAAGAAAACCCCCACATGCCATCACTTTGTGAAGTCAGTTGCTCACCACCAAGCAGGACACCACAGAAGACCCGGCAAAGAACCAATGGGACCAGGTGGACGACTTCAAGTGGCTCAAGTCGGAGCCCAGCCCAAACTGGGGCGTCTTATCCACGGAGGAGAGGCTGCCCGAGGAGATCTGGACAAAGGTCGTGCCGGGCGAGCGCGGCAAGGATTTGCATGATATCCTCAAGGCGGTTGGGGTCCAGAAGCATTGATATCAGAACATGTACTGCGTCTATGTCGGAAAGGGGGCGTCTTCTTGTTCACGTCTTAACTGGGTTCCTGGTTCGGAGTTCGGAAGGCGGTTTCTCGTGAGGGATGCATAATGCGGCGCAGAAAATAGCGTCCTTTCGGTACTAAAATTGTTCGTCATTCGCATTTCGGGTATCATATGAATTTAATCTGGCAAAACTTTCGTCGCGCGCGCTCTCTCTTTCTCTCTCTCTTCCTCTTCCTCTTCGCAGGTTTTCGTGAACCGCCCCCTGTTCATTCCCATCACTCCGTCTCCATCTTATCCCCCCGTCCCCCCTCCTCGTGACCAAACTTGACGCCCGCGTCCCGCAGCCGGTCCAGCACCTCACGCTGCATCCTAATGCGCTCCTCGAGCTCCTTGATTTCCTCTTCCTGCTCGTCGACAGTGCGGTCCATATCCGGGAGTGTGCGCATCTGCGTGCGGGCCCGCTGCAGCTTGTGCTTCAGCGTGTCGGTCTGGGCGGGTACGTCCTTGAGAGACAGCGGCGCGTTGGGGCTGGCGGCGCCGCCGCCAAGTCCGAGGGGGTTCGGCGTCGCGCCGGGGCCGGTGCCGGCTGGGGTGGCGCCAGTGGTGATGCCGCCAACGGAGCCTGATGTCTGGATCGCGGTTCGGAGGCGGGTGAGGATGCCCGTGAGCTCGGTCAGGGTGTCGAGGGCATCTGGAGAGAGGGTTGGGGGAAGCTCGAGGGGATGAGGCGGCATTTTGGATGTTGGAGCAGCGTCTGGGATGCTGGGGAGGTAGGGGGACAGGTGGCAGAGGCGGGCGACGTTCGCAGAGTCTGATGAGAATTGCGGGCGAAACAGGTGATTTGTGGAGAGGTGTCAGCCAATATTCAGCCTCACGGTAGGTGCGCGACGAGAAGCCGATCGTTGGCTGCGTGGTCGAGGCGTCGAAAGTCAATTAAAGGCGACGGAGGAGGAGGAGTCGGTGGGATGAGGTGCAGTTGCTCGGTGCGCGCCCAGGGTCGTGTCACGGCAAGGGGAGAAGCTCCGCCAGGACAAGGAGCTTCCACGGGCGTTTTAGCGCGACGGCGATTGGTAGCTAAAAATTGTTGAAAGTCAACAGAGGGGCAGCCGAGCAGTCCGCACCGTTCCTTCCCTAAAAGGCACGGTGCAACAAGCCAAATTGAGGCAGGCATAGACAGTGCCATTTCCAGATGCGACGGCACGGATCTATTATCGGCGATACTATGACATAACCCCCCACCAAACACTGACAGCGGTAAAACAGCCCAGCGCCGGAAGCTCAGGTACATTGGCTGGGCTGATTCAATCAAATCTCCTCAACCAGACCTCTCACCACCACCACAGTAGATAAAAAAACCAAAAATCACGCACCTCCTAGAATTCTGCTCTCTTCCTATACCCATACCTTTCTGTAAAGAAATTACTGCACAGGAAATACCTATTCACCATGGCCAAGACCGACCAGAAGGCCTGCCTGAGTACGTCCAAAGATCTCCCTCCAGACCCTCCGTGCCCCTCGTCGAAGCCCCGCGGTGGTGGTGTTGGTGGTGGTGGTGTGAGTGTCGAGGCTGGCCACCAGAGCCAGAACGCGCCCGGGGAAACGGTTCCCTCACCTCTCCAGCAACCAAAACCCAAATCCAAACCAGATTACATTCTCACCCTTGCCTACATCATCCTCTATTTCCAAGTCGGCTGGCTAATCTTGTGGATCTTGCGCTCCTACAGTCGTGATTGATGGCTGGGGTGTTCCCGGCGCCGACTCCCCCAAGGATGGCGACGCCATTACCAACGCAAAGACCCCCGTCATGGACGAATTCGCTCAGAGCAAGACCGGATACTGCGAGCTCGACGCGTCGTCCATCGCCGTCGGCCTGCCAGAGGGTCTGATGGGTAACTCGGAGGTCGGACACTTGAACATTGGCGCCGGCCGTGTCGTCTGGCAGGACGTCGTGCGCATCGATCAGACCATCAAGGAGGGCAAGTTCCCCGACAACGAGGTCATTAAGAAGACTTTCGAGGGCGCCAAGAATGGCAACGGCAGACTGCACCTCTGCGGTCTCGTCTCCCACGGCGGCGTGGTGAGTTTAGATTCGGGCTCCGAACCTCACCCCCATCTCCGCCATAGACTAACAACCTTCCTAGCACGCCAAGCAAGAGCATCTCTACAACCTCCTCAAGGCCGCCAAGCAGTACGGCGTCCCCAAGGTCTACATCCACTTCTTCGGCGATGGCCGTGACACCGACCCCAAGTCCGGCGCCGGCTACATGGAGGAGCTTGTCAAGACTGCCAAGGAGATTGGCATTGGTGAGATCGCCACCGTTGTCGGCCGCTACTACGCCATGGATCGTGACAAGAGATGGGAGAGAGTCCAGCTTGCTCTCGACGGTCTGATCAACGGCAAGGGCGAGGAGAGCACCGACCCCGTCAAGACCGTCAAGGAGCGCTACGCTCGCGGCGGCGACAAGGACAAGGACGAGTTCTTGACCCCCATCATTGTTGGCGGTGACGAGGGCCGCATCAAGGGTGAGCAGGCCTGCCCAATAAACACTACGCTCTCGCTAACAGAGACCTAGACGACGATACCGTTTTCTTCTTCAACTACCGCTCTGACCGTGTCCGCCAGATCACCCAGCTGCTCGGCGACGTCGACCGCTCCGTCCTTCCCGACTTCAACTTCCCCAAGATCAAGAACCTCGTCACCATGACCCAGTACAAAGCCGACTACCCCTTCGAGATCGCCTTCAAGCCCCAGCACATGGGCAACGTCCTCGCCGAGTGGCTTGGCAAACAGAGCGTCGAGCAGGTCCACATCGCCGAGACGGAGAAGTACGCCCACGTCACCTTCTTCTTCAACGGTGGCGTCGAAAAGGTCTTTGCCCTCGAGACCCGCGACGAATCGCAGGATTTGGTCCCCTCCAACAAGTCCGTCGCCACGTACGACAAGGCCCCCGAGATGTCCGCCGACGGTGTCGCCAACCAGGTCGCCAAGCGTCTGGCCGAGCAGAAGTTCCCCTTCGTCATGAACAACTTTGCGCCCCCCGACATGGTCGGCCACACGGGCGTGTACGAGGCCGCCATCGTCGGCGTCGAGGCCACGGATAAGGCCATTGGCAAGATCTACGAGGCTTGCAAGAAGGAGGGCTACGTCCTCTTCATCACCGCCGACCACGGCAACGCCGAGGAGATGAAGTTCCCCGACGGCAAGCCCAAGACCTCCCACACCACCAACAAGGTGCCTTTTATCATGGCCAACGCCCCCGAGGGCTGGAGCCTCAAGAAGGACGGCGGCGTCCTGGGCGACGTTGCCCCCACTGTTCTGGCCGCGATGGGCCTGCCCCAACCCGAGGAGATGACTGGCGCGAACCTGCTGTCCAAGGCATAAGTTCGGGTTTGGTTTGTGGGGTCTGTGGTTGTGCGGAGTTGTGGTGAGGGTGTCTTTGGCGAGCGGGTTTATCGGGAAAAGTTGAGAGCGTATGCGGCGCGTGTTGTAAAGGATTATGATGACAATAGACAACCCTATAGAAAATGAGAACACGTTTTGATGACATGGATGATTCTACAATGTGTCCTGTGCTTGAAGGGGGTCAAACGGAGAGTGGAATCCTCGGACCAAGGCTATTGCGGGCTGCTGTCACGTACCTTATATAACCCGAGGTATGCATGGATGCTATCCCCAAGCACCGAAAAATCAATGTGTGATGCAGACGCTTAGGACTTAGGTGTGAATGTGGCATGATCTACTGTAGACTCAAGCGGAAGGGATACCGATACCAATATTAACGTTCAAAGAGAGCGACGGCATCAGTGTTGTTCCTAGCCTTATAAGGGTTTACACTTACTCCAGCCAATCCTTCGTTCAAGAGTGGTTCGCACCAACACGCTGAGTTCCAACGCCAAACGATCCCACAAGACCAGGAAAGCTCACAGCTCCTTCCTACCAAGTTTAGGAGTTGTATCGCAGGTAAAACCATCATCTATGGTATGTTGTCAACTTCCAGCTGTTCACACCGATAGGGTTTGGGTGTACCTGTAACTCAATATAATCACAGAAGTAGAAGAACATAGTCATTTATTGAATTTCAAGCGAGGGGGTTCGCATAGACAAAAATACAAGTGATACAGGTGTGCTGATTGCCACTGCTGCCCGCGGGGCAGTCCCTTTGCAAAGGGTCAGACTTGTTGTAGGAGGTTCTCACTCAAAGCATGGGTAAGAGTACGTAGGCAAGCTTACAAGTCTAAAGACAACAACTCCAATGAGCTGCGCACACGAGCATAGCCAACTCATTGCTTGCTTTGCTTGTCTTTTAAGTCTTGGAGGCCCGCGATTGGTGCGGTATGAAGCTTCATTTACTTCGATTCTATACTACTCAGACAGTACGATATGGTGCACATCGCACTTCCGGCCCTTGCCTAATCACACGACCTAAGCATGACTTTAACTTGGCATGCAATTTTGTGCCGTTGGTGTTATAACTAGCTTACATCACCTTCTACATTTCGACTTTCTGAATTGCGATTGAGATTGCTATCTGGGGAGTATTACTGTGTGACTATCGGAGCAGAAATTTGGTAAACCGGGGTAGCCTCCTGGTAGCTAATCCGCTATTGCTGCTCATATAGCAAAATCTCGTCTTCTTTTTTGTGACTCCATCCCTGATTGTGAGATCCAAAATCGACGACACGTCAAAAGTGATAGTGATAATGGTATAACTTTATGAGAAGTAATGCCCAACATGGAGACGCTTCAAATTTGATTAATAGTACATGACGTGGCTTCCTCCGTTGATAGACCAAATATCTCCCGAAAGGTAAGCTGCGTCGGGCGAGATCATAAACGCCAACAGCGCGCCAACCTCCTCCAGGTTTCCGAGCCTCCGGAGCGGGACCCTGTTCGAGAGCCCCTCCTGTATCGAGGGGCTGGCCGCGATGCCCTCTCCAAGTCTCAATGCAAGAGCAGGAAACCATAATCCTACCCCTTCAGTGGCTCCCCTTTTCGGCGAGGTCGGTTTCCCTAGGACCCCTCGCATGCTTTGAGAAAAAAGAAAAAGGCAAGGCAGCATAAGTCGTATGTGCGAGAAGAAGGTTTGGGAGCCATCTGCACCGTGTCTTGTTGAACTGGCCTGTCACCCTATGTTTGAAGAGACGGCTTGGACGTAGAGTCCGAGGATGAGGGGGAATGACTTATATGAAACCACGAAGCATCTCTCAAACCATTGAACGATGAAGCAACGACACTTTGCCTACTTGTCCTCTTCATTGTAAGTTCGTTTCTCCTGGCATAACTTCTTCCGGTACACATTGATCTTTACCTACACTGCGATGATGGCGGACACCTCGAGCACCGCCGTGACCGCGGCAGCTACTCCGTTGGAATGCTTCAGCTCGGGCTCCTCCGTCAAGTTGATCGCGTCTGCCGCAGCCCTCGTATTGACGATCCTGATAGCAATTGACAAGCTCGTCTCCGCGCCCGTGGGTCCCCGCAAGCCCCCCGTCGTCAAGGGAATCCTTCCCATCATCGGCCACTTAATCTCTGTAAACACTTCATACCTGGGTGCCTACGAGAAGTTGGCGTAAGTTGAACCCCACGCTTCTTGACTTTTCGATAAATGCCTTCCTTCCTCTTCTTCTTCTTCTTTTCTGTCGGCCCGGACCGTCATGAGCAAGGACGCAACCATCATAGACCACGAAACCGGACAGCAGTACCTCCTCAAGGAGGGCGTCGAGGTCCAGTGGAGCGCGTCTGTGATGCACAAGAAGCCCGTCTGGGGCGAGGACGGGGAGCAGTTCAACTCCGAGAAGTGGCTGAAGAACACGCTCGAGATCGCAAAGGGCTTCAATGAGTCATTTATGCCCTTTGGCGGCGGTAAGCACCTCTTCCCCGGCCGCAACTTTGCGTTTGCCGGGCTGTTGGGTGCTCTGATTGCCCTAGCCGTCGGGTCTGAGCCCGAGGGCGTTCAGGTCCCGGAGCACGAGATGCCGTTGGCCACATCGGCTCTTTGCTCTCCGATTTATGGAAGCAAGTCCAGCAAGACGAATATTTCGAGGCGGGCGGGATGGGAGGATGTTGAACGGAGATTCAATCAGAGGATTGAGGTGTCTTGGTAAGATGCGTCGGCTCTTCAGGGTTTGGAATACATGATTGGCGCAGTAGGATAGGTATTCTTGGGTTGTGTTCATATGAGACTGAGATAATCGCCATCAGAATTTTCCTTCTCGTTCAAGCTTCGCCTTCACGCTCATCCAGCAGCCCGACCCTGTCTTTGAAGCCTGATGCTCGTCTTAAACCAGGACAAATGCGGCCTCCTTGAGCTCAGGGGCGTTGAGCCTTCGTCTCAATTTTGAATCAATCTCCTCATCATCGTCGGCGTTGTCTGCCCAACCCTGCGCTTCGTCCCCCCAATGCATAATACCGTCGGCATAACAGGTACCGACCATTGTGAAACGGTTCGTGCCCATGACGCTCTCCATTTGCCCGACCCTCGAAGACTCGGTGTACAAAGTACCGATGTGTTTTCGTAGAATATAGGGCATGAGACCAGCTTCCAGCACGCATAGTGCGTCTCCTACCCGCATGTTCTCCGGGCCAAGCCCAACTTGGCCTCGATCAGTAACGAACAATCGGTATCCGGCAGCTATAGTTCGAATGGTGTCCTCTTTCCATGAGAGATCGTTCGGCTTTGACTGCTCTTGAATGCCAAAATCTTCCGGTAGTAAACGAACGAGTCTATACATTCCATTCAGGCCTAATTCATCATCCAACTGCCGTTCGTTGCTAAATGTCGCCGTCGTGACTTGAAATCGTAAATGTGGCGAAAATTCTCTAAAGACAATGGCGTCAATTCCGGTCCCTTCGGGGCAATCTGCAGCTGTCCTGTAGAACTCCTCATGGAGAACTGGCTGAGAATTCATTGACTTGAAGTAGCGCGGGAGTTTTCTGAAAGTCCAGCGGGCGAATTCTCGTCGCTTCTCAGGTTCGAGTGGCTGGACATAATCGCTATATTCACTGCGAATCTGCACAGCGGAGGAGAGGCAGGATGCGATAGTCTCAAGTAGCGGTACTCGATAGATACGCCACCCTTCCTGTCTTTCGTAGCTATTCTGAACCTGGAAGATGACGAAGCTAATGTTTGAGAGGTCACTGCGAATGACATCGCTTGCAGTCACAACGACGCCACAAGCTACGCCTTTGAGAATCAAAGCGGAACGCTGCTCTTTGTTTTCAAACGGCCAGCTTGACGTGTATTTTATCATAATCGGAAGATCATGGACCGGCTTCCACCTGTCTGGGCTTTTCTCGAGCAAACCTTCAAAGTGTTGTTGAGGCAATATGTTTCTGAACTCGTCGCCCGATGAACTCGTCCGGAAATGCCGGAACCGTACACGACTTGCGTTGAATTTCAAGTAAGTTTCCTCTTGGAGATCGAATCGTCTCTGGTTGAAACCAGGAATCATGTACTCGGAAGACCAATCCGGTACCCATGAAGGAATATCTTTGCGGCTCTTGGCGAGCAGATCTGGTGTCGTCATCCAGAGAAGACCGGTGTGGTGGATGATCTCATATGCTGCGTGAGAAAAGAGCTCACCGACATCAACTTCGTAGTCAGTCTCGATGGTCAGTTTGTTGTGTTGAAATGGTCTTCTCATTTTCATATCCTCGGCAAGTTTGAGAAGAGCAAATATCTTGTCTCGCGGCTCTGAGGATTTGCGATTCCGAAACTTCCTGAGAAGCCACAGCAGAGAACTGCACGCCGTGAGATGCTCCGCGCTGCCAACGTTCTCTGTCACTAGGCGAACCGGCCTGATTGCGTCTATTTTGCCGACCAAGTAGAGCATCACTCTAGCCAAGTCTGGATGTTTGGTCGCGGGTGAGCCCTTGAATGCTTGAGCCGCGTGTTCGACGTAGGCGAAAGGAATTGAAGCGCGGCCGTAAATAACAGTAAGCTGTCGAGCAACACAAGCCTCTTGGACAATCCACATCCGATTCCACCAGTCGCTTGTCGCGAAGTGTCGCATTCTTTCGGATATCAACCGCAATTGTGCTTCACTGAGATTGTGCGTCAGGTCATCTTGGTATGCATTCGCAAGAGGTCCGCCCCTGGAAAAAGTGTTGATCTCGAAAAGTTCGAAAAGGCTATACAGACACATGATTTCTTCATGTTCTGTGAGCGAACCCGGCTGAGAGTCCTTCACCTTGTCCAAGTACTTCTGCGATTCCAAGCTAAGCGTGCCCATTTCATCATTGGGGAGGAACTCGAGGAAGGGGTTCTTCCCTAGTTTCTCGAAACGACGTGGATAGTCCCCGCGACTTCTATCCAAGCCGTCCCCGATATAGGCAATGACTTCAGTGGCCCAGCTAAATATGTCGTGCATCAAGCCAACTTGGTGGCCTTTTTCGACAGCATCATCTTGATTGATGCAGATGGAATCAATCCAAAGAATGACTGGCTCTGCCTGCCTTCGAATGGAACGCAAGGCCCGGTCTAAGTTGAAAGTGATCCGATGAATCTTGTCATTGACGGTTATATGGTTTGATCTTTTCGAGCTCCCCCAGGCATATGATAGGGCAAGGTACTCATGATCTCGATCGGCTAGGAATAGCCTGGCTTCGAGGCCATCAAGCCAATCTCCAGGAAGAAGCTGTATTAGTCGAATCTCGTTGAGCGCAAGTTTCTGATCGTACTTGAAGGTCGACATCGTCTAAGGTAGTATGAAGCCAAGTAGATTTTCAATGAGCTCTCCTTAATTCTGTTGATCAAGGACCCAAAAGCTGTGAATACGGCGGAAAAAGGCGACGAAATAGGCAGAAATGGGAGAGGGTGCCATGTCAGCCTGCAGCCCGTGAGGCTGCTGATTGGTGTGAGTACATTCTCTCGAATTACTGCGATCAGCTGAAAGACGTATGAAGTGACGTGGAAAGCTACAAATTAAGAATGGGTGTAGCAGTCAGTCAAATTCAAAATTCTCAACTACATAGTATAGCAAGTCAGGATAGCATCAAGCATTGTATGCCAGTGTGGGCACTCGGCGATTGATGATACATCGCGAGATTGAGAGTCACTGTTGATATTGAATCTGGTACGCCTGGGCTTAGGCGGGGAACTGGCAGGGGTCACCAGTACCCCTCCTCAATTACATAATCCAGCTAAGGTAAGGCAGCCAGCCAGCCACACCTTGGTCCGTGCCCGGGGAACATCACGAAAGGCTGCAATAATTTTTTGGAGCTCCAGAAGCTTCTTGGGCCACGAACAGCACAAGTACAGCCTTCCCCCGCGACGACATACGAACCCCGACTCTCCCGTCGAGTGTATTCCCAACCTCTGTACTCGTCGTTTCGAAATTACTACTCAAAATGTCGTTCGGAGGCCAGACCCCGACCATTATTGTCCTGAAAGAGGGTGCGCTACCCCACCGCCTTCCCCTTGCCGACCTAGAAACTGTGACTGACGAGCCTGTTGCGCAGGAACCGATACCTCTCAGGGCAAGGGCCAAATTGTCTCCAATATAAACGCCTGCTTGGCTGTCCAGGCCACGATCAAGTCTACCCTCGGTCCCTATGGAGGTGACCTGTTGATGGTCGATGCCAACGGCAGACAGACAATCACCAACGATGGTGCTACGGTTATGAAGGTCGGAAAGATCATATGGACTGCTTTGAGAGTGGCGTACTGACGCGCATGTAGCTCCTCGACATCATTCACCCCGCAGCCCGAATCCTCGTCGATATCGCGAGATCACAAGATGCTGAGGTCGGTGATGGCACAACGTCCGTTGTCGTCTTGGCTGGTGAGATCCTGAAGGAGATCAAGGAGCACGTCGAGCAGGGCGTTAGCTCTCAGGTCATTATCAAGGGTCTGCGGAGAGCGTCTATGATGGCCGTCAACAAGATCAAGGAGATCGCTATCGATACCAACGAGAGCAACAGAAGGGAAACGCTTGGCAAGCTGGCGGCTACCGCCATGACGAGCAAGCTAATCAAGCGCAACACCGAGTTCTTCACAAAGAGTACGTTCAGATACGCTTATTGGGTGATAGATATGCTAATTCGTGTACAGTGGTCGTGGACGCTGTCCTCTCCCTTGACCAGGACGACCTGAACGAGAAGTTGATCGGCGTAAAGAAGATTCCCGGCGGTTCCCTCACCGAGTCACTATTTGTCAACGGTGTCGCATTCAAGAAGACATTCTCCTACGCCGGTTTCGAGCAACAACCCAAGTCTTTCGAGAAGCCCAAGATCGTCTGCTTGAACGTCGAGTTGGAGCTTAAGGCCGAGAAGGACAACGCCGAGGTCCGCGTTGAGCAAGTGTCCGATTATCAGGCCGTTGTCGATGCGGAATGGCAGATTATTTACAAGAAGTTGGAGGCTATCTACAAGACGGGCGCAAAGGTTGTGCTCAGCAAGCTGCCCATTGGCGACTTGGCTACGCAGTATTTCGCAGACCGCGACATTTTCTGCGCTGGTCGCGTCACATCCGAGGACATGGAGCGCGTGGTTCAGGCTACCGGCGCCACCGTCCAGTCGACATGCTCAGATATCCTCGCAGAGCACCTGGGTACCTGTGGCAGCTTCGACGAGCGCCAGATTGGAGGCGAGCGTTTCAACTTCTTCGAGGGCTGCCCCGAGGCCAAGACCTGCACACTCGTCCTCCGTGGCGGTGCTGAGCAGTTCATCGCCGAGGTCGAGCGTTCGCTGCACGACGCCATCATGATCGTCAAGCGCGCCATCAAGAACCACACTATCGTCGGTGGCGGCGGTGCCGTCGAGATGGAGGTCTCCGCATACCTTCACCGCTTCGCCGACAAGAATATCCCCCACAAGCAACAAGCCATCATCAAGAGTTTCGCCAAGGCTCTCGAGATCATCCCCCGCCAGCTGTGCGACAATGCCGGTTTCGACGCGACCGACATTCTCAACAAGCTGCGCGTGGAGCACCGCAAGGGCAGCACCTGGGCCGGTGTCGACTTCATCAACGAGGGCATCGCCGACATGATGGAGCGCTTCGTGTGGGAGCCGGCGCTGGTCAAGATCAACGCCATTCAGGCCGCCACCGAGGCCAGCTGCCTCATCCTTGGCGTCGACGAGACGATCCGCAACGAGGAGAGCGCGCAGCCCCAGGCCCCTGGTCAGCAGCTGCCCCCGGGTGCCGCACAGCGCGCCCTGAGAGGCAGAGGACGGGGCATGCCTCGTCGGTAAAGAGGTTATGACCGGGAAATGAATGAGAACAAAAAAGGAATCAAAAATCAGGAATCGATGAATGGCGTCTGTATGATACCTAGAACTGGCCCCCAGGGGCTTTGGCTATAAGAAGTCCGAATAGACTGGGTCATTTGTCGTCTGTCATGAACACGCTTGCATTGGGTTTTTTCCCTACCGCGCTTGATATAAACGCGTGACAGTGTGAATGACAGGTCTCCCCAACACGGACTGCGCAGGTGATGGTTAGCTGGCAAGGTGATGGAAATACTGTCGCGCCACTAGTTGGATCCTGCGTCTTGCAGTGACTGGATGGCAGCGGAAATTGCAGTGTAGACAGCAGTGATTAGTCAGAGTAGCCATCTTTGGTCAGTTCCATCAGATCAATGCCCGGGTAGGTGTTATAAATGCAGTGAAGTTGGCATTGTTGGCGCAGCCACACTCATCGCATGATAGGTCTATTCCGCTTCTTCTGCTGGCCGGCCAAGTGACCCAGTCAAAGCCCGAGGCGGTACCTGAAATGCAGTGAAGCATGCGGTCAATTACATCATGTATCGATTGCCACGAAGACGAACAGGACGAGGATCCTTTGTCAATCTGTGCCGAGCCTGGCGATGATGGCGTCTGGCGGTAAAACAGATTTCCAATACCCAGCCTGAATAGATGACGCCTAGATGTTCCCGTCCCGTCAAAAGTCTTGGGGAGCCGAGTTGAGCTGGCTGGTCTTCCTAAAGATAAACTACCTCACCTAGCAGGTAGGCAGGTGGAAAAAGGGGGGGCTCTCAATCACTTGAAGTTTTCTATACCCCATACCCCTATTTTCGTAGCTCACCTTACATGACGCCATGTCCCCTACATGGGTGTCTTGGAAGCTTTCAATATCCCATGTACTGCCTCGGGGCAATTCATTGCTTCAGAAGGGGTTTGGCGCAGTCCAACAAGTCTCTACTACCATATCTTGACGCCAGCTCAGGTCAGGTCTCAACATAAGTGAAAAGGAACTTATACATTCAAACATCTCCGGGTGCTCCAAAAATTCTCGTGCCTCCCCATCTCCGCACACGGCGGTTAGGTCGCGAGGTACGACTACGACGGCACCGCCCTTACCGCCCGTTGCGAAGGGCCACAGCTGGAATGAACTTCCCAAACTGACTCTTGCCGTAGAGGAGAGAGAGGACGAAAGTTCTTCCATGGGGTCTTTTTTCTCGACGCTGCCACTTCTGCTGAAGATGTTTTGCATTCCAAGAGGTGGAACCCCGAGGTCACAAGCATCGACTCCCATGACGGCTTTTTCGTCACTTAGGAATGTAATATGGAAGTCACGGAGAAATAAGTCTCATATCCGCAGTTGGCGGTCGGTCACCTACGTTGATTCATATTCACTTTCACATTCGGTCAAGCAAGTTGAAATCCATCCCAAAATCAATTCATCGTATCTCTTCTATCGCGTGATCCCAGAACCCAACCGTGGCGAAGGTATACGCAGTCGTCCAGCACCAAGAATTGGGTTCATGTTCATTCCAAAACCCATTGCCAAATACCAAAAAAAAGTCAGAAACCGCCGCTGATCGCCGTAATACCCAAATCATTACCGAAAACCCGTAGACCGAAAATTTTGTTTCCCCTTATGATCGTACATCCGTCCAGCGAACGAAGAGCGTCGCGATAACCCATCGTCATTACATAGTCCCGTAGCGGGTGCTGAGAAAGACCAAGATCAAGCACAAGCGTAAAGCGTCATAACGTACACATTGCTGAAGAGAAAGAAGTCATGACACCGTCCAATACCCTTCCCAAAGGAAACCGTTTCGCCAATGAAAATAGTATCCATCATGAGCTGCCGAAGAAAACGTCATCGTTGTTGGTAAACATGTTGACTGCGTCGTCAAATTCTTCGTCAAACTTGCTCATCATAAGCATGTTGGATTCGCGGTCGAACTGGACTAGCCCGTCCTCGCTTGTGAAAGCCTTCATGAGCAGTTCATCATCGGGATCGCCCAGGCCCAGACTCGAGATGCTGGTGTTGCCAACAGGACCAGCGTTACCTCTCATTCCAGCCAGCAGCGAGTCGTCGCTGAAACCAGAATGGTTGGGCTCGGCGTCGAAGAACTGATTGGGTGGTGGCGATGAAGACTGGGAAAGTTCCGGTGGGGTGTTGTACTCGCTTTTTGCTGGTGACTCTGGTTGCTGGGGCAACGAGACGGGTGCCTCCATCAGGGCCTCCGGTGACACGTATTCGGAATGGTGGCTCGCAGCCGGCGAAGGTTCCAAGTGCGATTCCCGGTGAAGTCGTGGGGGCGAAGAGGGCATCGGTGCGGATGAGCTTGTGGTGATTTGAAGGGGCATGTCGAAGCCTCGGCGTTCAATACTGATGTCGCCCATCTCAAATTGGTCATCAGACATCATGTTGAAGTCATTCTCGGGGGAGTTGACCGCCGAGCTATCCGAGTAACCGGATTGCGATGAGGTGGAGGTGGTCGACTTGTTCTTGGTCCTTGTGCGGGCTGACTTATTGACGCGCTCGTCCATCTCTGGCCGGTGCTTGCGGGGACGGCCACGCTTGACAACCTTCTTGACGATGCCATCAAACGCACCAATGCACATACCACGTTGACGATGGCGAGTAAGGGCATCATGGCGGGCAAAGCTGTTGCCGCATTCGCAGGGGTAAGGCTTGATACCGGTGTGGATCTTGGCATGCCGCTTCAAGTCGTGCTGGCGAACGAAGCACTTCTTACAAGAAGGACATTGGTACTGTCGGTCGTTCAAATGCGTCTGAACGTGGGACTTGATATTTTCTTTGCGCCCAAACTTCTTACCGCAGTCCTCAAAAGTGCAAGTCCATTTTCCGTCTGCCGGATCGGGCCCTGTGATGTAAGTAGCAATATCATCAAGTGTAACGCCCGTTTCGGTCTTGGTTTCCTCGATGTTGATGCTTGCAATGCTCGCGGCACTGGCAATGCTAGCAAGAGATTCAGTACGACGATGAGTTGAAGAAAGCCGAGAATCATCAAAGGATCTGTCGTCAAAGGATCTGGAAGGCGAGATAGAACCGATGGTCATATTGGGGTGGTGGAGATCAGGCCGGTTGTCGAATGCGCTGTGGAAGTTCATCAGAGGGGTGTGAGGAGTCGATTGCTGAGACATGTCGGAAGAGACGTGGAGATCGTCGGAGACGCCGTCGTAGCCTCCCTGAATCTCCTGGATCTTCATGAACTCATTGTTGAAGTTGTTCATGTTCATAAAGTCCGGAGTCGGTACAACCTGGTCGTACAAACCATTTGGCATCTGGGAGGGTTGCTGAGGAACCGTCATCACGTTTTGCTCCGACTGCTTCCGCATTTCCTCAAAGATGTTCTGTGTGCGTTGGTTTGATCTCCTCACGGGCTTGAGTGTTTCCTCCATGGACTCATCGTAGCCCTCAGCGAATCGACTCGGCCTGGCAGACATGGGCTCGTGCTTGACGGCTCTGTCATGGGGTGTCTCCATGGGTGTAGGGGGGAAGTAGTCTGGGTCGTGTAAGTGACTGGATGGAGATGGCCTTCGGAAAGACGTACTGTTTGCATCCTGGCGGGGTGGTGTCATTGGTCTTTGCATCTGCTCAACGCCCATAGTCTCGAATTTGTTAACTCTGTCCATGATACCATTGCTGATTCTCCGCGAAGACCGCCTTGTGCTCGCGGTCTCGTCCTCTGAGATCCAGCCCTGAGGAGTATTGGGAGTGTCGCTAAAGTTCATGAAAGAAGGGGTCGAGAGAGCGCTGTCAGAACCAAAGAGCTCAAAGTCTTTGTTGCCTCCCATGTTAGCCGCATAGGCCTGCTGGCTCTTGGCCATCATGTCATTCATCTGGTTGCCATACTGGTTGTACTGTATGGGGGATGAGTCGAAACATGAGGCGTCGAAGCGCTGAGCCTGGGGCGTTCCGTGGGGGGACATGAGATAGTTTTCATGGTCATTCGAGGCCATGTACATTTGCTGTCTTCGGTGAATTTGTTGTTGTGAGTGTTGTCGAAGGTGTGCCTGCTGGCGGGGGCCCGGGCGTGCTTGAATGCGTTGCTGCTGCGCTTCTCGCAGTACATGCTGCGGTTGTGCTAGTCCTGTGTTAGTAGTCATACTTACCGGTGCAAAGTCCTGCCGTCTTGTATCCAGGCTGACGCCTCGGCGGTGGCCGAGAGCTCGCTGACGCTGGACATTTTGGGGCAAGGGCTGGATCTTCACTGCTTCGAATGCCGTCGGTGTCGAATTTTGGCGTCGGTGTGCTCTGTGACGGGCATGAAGATTGCTGGTTTGGGGGTTATTGGACAGCATTGTGTCGCAAGGTTGAGTCCGGAAGGGATTGTCGTCGGTCGATTATTGTCGATGGGAACCTATGGGTCCGAAACTGGAGGTGTGTAAGTTAGCATCTGATATCGATGTTGCGACAGCGAGACGAAGCATCGCAGGGCAACGGGACTCACCTCACGCAGCGCAAGCAGAAGTGCCGGGCTAGGGGGTAAGGGAGGTTGTGCTCAGTCGAGGTAGACTTTGCGGGTTAAACAGATGGGGTCTGGTCTGTACGCCTTATTCAGGCGAGGTAAGAAAGTTGGAGAGCTTGGAGAGCGCGCTCTCTACCTAGGCAAAGGTAAGATTGTCAATGGCAACAAGAGATGTTTGTTAGATACGCAAGAAGCTCTTTGGGACCTTCTTGAGTAGCGGTAGTGGTAAGAGTTGGAGGAGTTGGTTTGGAGGAAGTTGGTAGTTCAGCCGCGATGGACGGGTAGAGGTTATCTTCCTGCAGTAGTGGATTTGACGGGAGGGGAGGGGAGGAAATTCAAGATTCCACTCTGGAGATACTCTGGGTGGGTAGGAGTAGTAGTAGTCAGGAAGACGAGGAGGAGGGCGGCAATCATACAGACACAGACCAGGCAAGGGAGTATAAGCCTGGAGTTGACGGGTTGGAGGGGGGGGGGGGCTGTAACTGAGGAAACCATCTCAGACCAGGCGATGCGATGGACCGGTGGTGGTTACCAAGGCGTCATGGGCTTTGTTGACGTCGTCTCCACAGCAACGGGCGACGTGCGCCTCAAGCTCTCCCGCACCTGCACGGCAGCAGCACCCTCCCCTTGCCACCTTTTTTCTCAGCTGCAACGGCGGCCGAGACAGCGCTAAGGTACTGTAGTGTACAGGAAAGGAAACTTCCAGGTTGAAGGCAAGCGCTCCCCCGGTACGTACCCGACCTGAGCTCCTTCTCCAAGTCTTGTCTTCCAAGGTTCTATCCCAACATCATTACAATGTAAGGTACGGATACTTGAAGTACGGATACACGTTTACTCCCATCCCCTCCCTTTCGGACGTAGTGGCAGTACGTACCCAAAGGTACCCATCTTGAAGGATCCCGTCATTGCGGGTTCCTCCCAGGTGGCCCATCAACCACGAGCAACCTTTAAAACATGTCGTCCAGAGACAAGGACCTCCTGGTCCTGCACCCTGCCGCATCTCGCGCGGTCGCATCGGGGCCAGGTTTTCTTCAAGTCGAGCCTGGCTACAGCTATCTACTAAGGGCACTACTGGTTGCTTACGTAGCAAGTCAACATATCGATTTTCATCATCTCGTTGGAAACCCATCCATACGTGTCTTCTGCAACCGACGGCCGTCAATGCCATCCTTGTCGTGGCATAATCCAATCCGGATATCAACACACAACTCGAATGCGCTTACACCGCAACAATGTCGTCGTGTTGTCGTCGCTATGCCTGACGCAAAGTGGGCACAGAAACAACCATCCCCGCCCAGATCAAAATCCTCCGTCTCCGCAGTCAAGAAGCGAATCAAGGACGTGCTCCCGGACAGTGGCCTGTCCAACCAGCACCTCGATTTGATCACCGATCGCACAACCCTGGCAACCGGACTTCCAGGCCGGCTGTCCATCCATTTCCCATCCGCCCATAGTCGCGCCTGTCTCACCTTACCACCGGCTGCCAACCACGCGGTACCGACGACGCACAGCAGCCGCCGTCGTGCGTTGGTGCAGCCATGCAGCCACACTCGAGAGTCCATGTTTCACCCGCCCTCTGCCACCAAGACAGTGTGTTTCCAATGGACGACACAAAAGCCCATCTTCATCTCCCTCTTGTCATTCGTCCTGGCCATCTTCTTCAATAAATCTCTCCCCGTCTTGTTTCCGTGCTCAGCGAGGAGCCTGTTGTGCAACGAATCCCTTTACTCGGCCGTTTGCATACAGCATACAGCGTTCTTTCCACTCCTACTTCGATTCCACAACGCTTGACTGGAGGTCATCACCTCTTTCATCTGTCCCAAGTGACTACCGGCTCGTCTCATACGTCCGTCGTGCAGCAATCTCCTTCCACATGGGAATCAAGGAAAGTAAGGCTGTCTCTGCGCAAGAAGTACACCTTGTATCTACAGGAGTGGCCGTATAACCCTCTCTACCGCCAACTTGCTACGACCTGGACACATTAGTTGTGGTCTTGGTTTCTAAGTTTGACTCTTGCAAGTTTGCTTCCACCATTTTGGCCATAGATTGACCCGACCTGGGAGAGCTGGCGGCTGTCTTGAGTGCCCGCACATGATGGTCAAGCAATGATGAACTGCCCTAACCTCAACCGTTTGTCCTTTCGAACGCGTTGACCGACTCAGATATACCCGCGAGGGAAGTTTTGCGAGCATGCGCAGGGTCGTGATTTGATACTCGAGAAAGCTAGGAGCCAGCTTCGGAGCCTCGAATAAGATTGATGCGCCCCATTCTAAATGAGGACGTCGTTATCAGCAAGCAGCCAAGAACCTGGCATGTGCCAGTCATCATTGGCAGCATATAGATGGATCCCCATGGTAATACTACCAATGAGACTTTCGATGGCCCTTTCAACCTCATCTGCAAAGCTCGCCCCAGGACATCACGTCTAATGCAAACGGCCGGCTGGTCTCCGCGACCATACACGTAGGTAGGGACTAGGAGACAATCAAGCTCAAGAGTACATACGCCGGTCTGGAAGCCCTTGGCTATGAACTAGATGTTTTGATATGTACGCTTAGCGTCCTGATCGGCTACCCCCCATCTACAACTAAACCATCAAGGCATCTCAACGTCATTTAACGTCGAAGCTGTGAGCTTCCATGGTAAACATAGCCTACCTTGCAATGAAGCTACTGAGTGGGTTTGAGCCATTCCCGTTTTTGGTCAACTGGCAAGGAGTAGGCAGGCCACTTGAAAGGCGCGCAGCATCTAATCGCTGCTCCTGTTGTCAAGTTGCAATATCCTATAGGGGCATTTGCAGAATGTCAGGGGCTGGAGCTTTGTCGACGGAGAGGATAGACGGCGGGTATACTCATTTGATATACAACCTTCACATCCGGCCATCGATATGAATCCAAGGTAAAAGGAGAGTGTTCCACCATGCATTCTTAGAAGGCGGTACTCAAGGATAAAAAGGTCAGGTATGGAAAGCTTAGCTAAGTACGGAGGTAGGTAGGCCGATAGGTGCCGTGGTTTCGTATTTCATGACTTTCTCGTTGCTGGTCCGTTCATTCTACAAAAGCCTGACCGCATCACTCACGTTGTTTCCATCACAAGAATACATCATATGCGTTCCACAGGCTCAAATTTGGGCAAATAAAGGAATTACGGGACGGCTTATTCTACGCGTATCCCAAATTCGGCTGGCGCGAGCTCATCAGGGAGGGTCCTACATCGCGAGTTCAACGATGAATGTTATCAACATAAGATGAGAATCGGTGCGGTTTCTTTTCGATATCACCAGATTACATCTTGATTTTGATATCACCCACAGTCAAAAAAGACTTGGGCGCAGAGCTCGTCAGTTGCTCGTTTTGAGGACAGAGTTACTCTACTGGTGGTCCAAGGGCGTACATGCGCGTGATGGCATGCTTGATTCAGCTAGAAGAGTAAGCACGTGCTATGAGCGTGAGAGAAGAAGCTACAAGGTGTTTGCTCGCAGCTGAGCGGGTTCACTTTGGAGTTATCTGGTATGAACGGAAAAGCACAAATTGTCAAGCATCAACAGAATCTATCGACCAATCCTATGGCCAACATCTGCATCTTGAACACAGGATACACTTTCCCTCTGGCCATCATTCCTTACCCTGAAATTTGGAAAGTCAATGGCGAGGTACATGTGAATATGGACTCGTGAAGACCCATGCCGGAGCCGAGGGAACACCGGGGCCGAATGATCCGTGTCCGGGTATGGGAACCCAAGCCCCGGCCGACGGAACACGCCATTTGCCGGGCCTAGCAGCATAAAGTGGCATACCCAGGTGGCATGAGCCTTTCAAAGAAGCCTCGGTGCGAGACCAGCAAAAATTCAAGGCGCGGAGCCGATCTACCAGGCTCTGGTGAATTAGCGAACGTCAGGCGACATTGGCTCTCAGGTGAGGCTAAAAAGGGGGACGGCAAGACCCGCCACGTTGGGTCGGGTCCATGTCTGCTTAAAGGTAAGCAGTAAATATGAACAGGTCTGCAATCATGTATTTCCCTGGGGAAGCTGGGGAACACTGTGGACGATGAGAGGCTGTTGGTTTGAGGGAAGATCCGGGAGGATGACAGTTGGTGGTGTAAGAATCGGTCGATAATGATGTGGTTGTTTAATCTTGGGTATGTAATTCAGCGATGGCCACTGGACGCAAGGGGAAAAGAGCAATTGGAGGAAACAGTGCTGCAAAGATCAGATGACATGTACGGATAGTTTGGCTCGACAGGGTTCAGCTGTCATAATGAAGACTGGTATTCACCGCCGCCTGGTCGGTTCATGCAAGGGGAGAGCCGGGGCGTTTCCACCGAATTTCGGTTGGATTTTTTTTTTTTGGAGGTTTCGTGGACAATTGAGTTTCCACGGACTGGAGGTATCAGATGAGGACTGAGAAACTACCTTTTGTAAGTTTGCGTTTCCTCTGATGAATGCACTCGCCACGAGAGGAATCCCGTACTCGATACATGTACCTCCAAAGTTACAGTTGTCAGGTGAAATGGCGGAGTGAGGTGTCTAGGTACTTAGTCAGACGGCCTCGGGAGCTTCAGGGACCGACCAAGTGGGCTTCCAAAGACCCACTCGGTTGAACACGGCAAATGATTGGAGAGAGCGAGGTGAACTGGAGCTTCCGCGAGATTGAAGGCGACGGTCAGCGACGCTGCGGGTGCCGGTTCTGGCCCGTGCATCGTTCTCCCCTGTCACCTTGACAACCAGGGTCTTTTTTTTCCCCTTCTTTTTTTCTGTTTCTTCCCTCACAGCGGTGACACTGGCACACTGGCTGGATGCAGCGTGCAGCGTGCAGCATGCTGCAGCAGCGGACCAGCACGACCAGATAGTCGGAGCGCTCCATGCCGGCCAGAAACGAAGGGGCCTTGGGGAGGCAACACCCCCAAATTTCGACCCCCCATGACCACATCAGGCCCGACGCTGGAGTGACTGGACAAGGACCAGCTGCTGGACGTGGACCTTGGAACCTGGAAATAACTAACCCGACCCCGACCCCGACCCCAACCGGTTTCCTCCCATCTCCCGTCAATAATATCTTTGGCCTAAGCACCTGAAAGGACTCAAATCCAGCTTTCTGCAACGGCTATCCATCCATCAACCAGGTGCAGGCTGCAGCGACGAACAGACCAGACGATAGACGATAGACGCCAGACCACATTAGATACCCTCTCCTGGTCCTCTTTGTCCCTCTCTCGGAATCCTTTCCACCTCACGTCTTGTCTTTTCTGCAAACCCGGGCAGCTGCTAGAGACAATTCACCTTTCTGCCACACATCCCCGACTGCCGGCTCGCACGCGTCGCCCTCGGCACCCACTCCCCAAAAGCCAAAAGCCGGAGGGAAAAAATAGCCACCACGCATCAACACCTCCCATAATCGCAATCTGACAAGTTCATGCAATGTCAGGCAACACCCTTAGAGGCACGCCCAATCGCGGCCAGGCCCGTGGAGGCATTCCCTTCACCCAGAGCCCCTCTGTCACCGGCTCTGCTCCTCCCGCCGCTTCCTCTGGCATCCCGCGCCCTGTCCTAGAAACCCAGGCTACCCAGAGCGAAGTTGGTGGTGGTGGTGGTGGATCGGGAGTCAGTGCCAGCCGTCAGAAGCAGACCAAGAGAGATGAGGTATGATGCCCTTTTCTGCTATTACCCCACGATCACGGCCATTGAATATTTTCTGCCTTCCTTCTTCCTTGCCTTTGGAGGGAAGAAAGACGGACCATTTACCCGTCTTCTGTTGTCGTCGCGTCTCCAGTCTTGTTGGCTACCGCGTCTCCAACCGGACCTCCAGAAGCTACTACCCCCAAATGGCCAGACTTACTTACGGCGAGCTCGAAAGAGCCAGAATGCTCGACACAATGGATACTGACTACTATGTCAAGGCAATTCGCAAGAAAATGGAGAGCGATCTCTCCAAAAAGAAGCACCTTACGAGCCGAGCCCGTCACTCGCGCAAGGCCCCGCCGGGCACCGTCCTGGCCCTGAAGCCCAGTCAAGCCCTGCAGATCAAGCCCGCCACCACCGTCGCCGAGGCCGCCCAGCTCATGGCCGCGAAGCGTGAGGACTGCGTGCTCGTCACCGACGACGACGACCGCATCGCCGGTATCTTCACCGCCAAGGATCTTGCCTTCCGCGTCGTCGGCGCTGGCCAGAAGCCCAACCACATCACCATTGCCGAGATCATGACCAAGAACCCCCTCTGCGCCCGTACCGACACCAGCGCCACCGACGCCCTTGATCTCATGGTCCGCAAGGGTTTCCGTCACTTGCCGGTTATGGACGAGAACCAAGATATTTCGGGTATTCTGGATATCACAAAATGTTTTTACGATGCTATGGAGAAGTTGGAGCGTGCCTACTCGTCCTCGAGACGTCTGTACGATGCCCTCGAGGGTGTGCAGTCGGAGCTCGGCACGAGCCAGCCGCAACAGATCATCCAGTATGTCGAAGCTCTGCGCTCCAAGATGTCCGGGCCAACCCTTGAATCCGTCCTTGACGGGCGCCCCCCTACAACGGTCAGCGTGAGAACATCGGTCAAGGAGGCGGCACAGATGATGAAGGAGAACCGCACCACCGCTGTCCTGGTGCAAGACCAGGGGGCCATCACTGGTATCTTCACCAGTAAGGACGTCGTTCTCCGTGTCATTGCCCCTGGTCTCGATCCCGCAACGTGTAGCGTTGTCCGCGTCATGACGCCTCACCCCGACTTTGCTCCCATGGAAATGAGCATCCAGGCTGCTCTCCGCAAGATGCATGGTGAGAATTCCCCTTGGATATAACAAAATAAGAAACGATTGCTAACTCATCATATAGACGGCCACTACCTCAACCTTCCCGTCATGAACGAGGGCGGCGAAATCGTCGGCATGGTCGACGTTCTCAAGCTCACTTACGCCACCCTCGAGCAGATCAACACCATGTCTACTTCCGACAGCGAAGGGCCCGCGTGGAACAAGTTCTGGCTTTCGCTCGACGACGGCACTGAGTCCATGATGTCCGGTGAGGGCAGCCACACCCATCACACAAATCTAGGTTCACGCATCATGTCTCCTGACATCACCCGGGAGCGCATCGGTGACAGCGTTGCTCCTGGAGACTCCGCCTCCCACGTCGGTTTGGAATCGCCGCCCCGCTCTGCCGTCACCGGCCACAGCCCAGCTCAGCAGTCCCCTGCCGAATTGCCTTTCCCCTTCAAGTTCAAGGCCCCGTCTGGCCGTGTTCACCGCCTGCAGGTCATCGCCTCCCAGGGTATCTCAGCCATGGTTGCCAACGTTGTTGCCAAGCTGGGAAGCGAGGTCGATGCGATTGGCGGTGCTCCCGTAGCCGAAGAAGGCAAGATCTCCGGTGGCTTTGCGCTTAGCTACCTCGACGACGAGGGTGACTCTGTCTCCATCACTACAGACAACGATCTGCTCGAGTCAATTCTGCTTGCCCGCCAGAGTCGCCGGGAAAAGGTCGACCTGTTTGTTCACGACCCTGAGAAGCCTCCCGTCTCCGCTGCACCTCCCACCATCGAGACCATTGCTCTCCCCACCCCTCCCATCTCTGCCACTCCTGACCTGCGCCGGAGAAGAGCCTACGATGATGAGGACGACGAGGCGGAAGACGAGGATGAGGATGAGTCTACGATCCGGAGGTCGCGTCGTGCGAAACACGCACCTGTGGAGAAGGAAGTCATTGCTGGCGTTCCGAACGAGCTACTGCTTCCCGGTGCCATTGTGACGTTGGCGGTTGTCATTGTCGGTGTCTTCACGATCTCGCGCCTGACCAGTAGGTAAGGGATGTCTCTAGAGAGAGGAAAGAGGAGGATCTCCATCACGACTTAACGAGAGTCCTTGGCGAAGCATTGTAAATATGTATCGAGTAGTGTTGTCTTTACTAGACTTGAGTATCTCGACGTTAAATTAATACACCGCACATCCGTTCTACATAGTTATCGTAATCGTGAACTTTTGAATTAAGTGGCCTTCACGCTTGCGATTGATTTCGCCGCGGTGTACGAATAATACTGCCATTTGCCTGCTTACCTAAGATACTATATGTGGTGTGCGTGCAGGGGGCGGTTGCGGAGACTCCAGCTTCCCCGAAAGCTCCAAAAATTGTTCCTGGGAAACTGCAGCACCGTAACGACTCCTAATCATCACGCCGCCGCCTACGCCATGATTGTCAGAAGCATAGTCAGCCGGCATGGTATGCAAAATCCCCTCAGACCGTCAAATAATTCAATTGAACCGTCTGTGCTGACCCTTCCTTTCCCGTAATAGGCAGCAGAGCCCTGCTGGCGCCCGTCGCCGCCAGATCATGCCACCGCGCCATCACCACCGACTCCCTCGTTGGCGCCATGACGCCCGAAAATCTCGCGGACCTGACGACGGCCGCCGCTCTCGGCCAAATCCCGCAAGCAGCAGACCCGGAGGCGGCGGCCAAGCTGGCCGACAGCATCAGCAGCCGCTCCAAGACCGTGCCCAACGCCTACAACCGCTTCCGCCGCGCGCAAAAACTCACCTCCAACGTCGGCTCCGTCGTCGGGCGGCCCTACGTGCCCTCGTCGCTCATTGAGAACCCGCCCGCGCCCAAGGATATCACGCTGGAGCTGCTGATGGCGTCGCAGACGCACATGGGCCACCACACGTCGCGGTGGAACCCGGCCAACGCGCGGTACATTTACGGCGTGCGGCAGGGGATCCACATCATCTCGCTCGAGACGACGGCCGCGTACCTGCGGCGCGCGGCGAGGGTTGTCGAGGAGGTTGCGTACCGCGGCGGGTTGATCTTGTTTGCGGGCACGCGGAAGGGGCAGATGGAGATTGTCACCAAGGCGGCGAAGCTCGCGGGCGGGTGTCACCTGTTCACCAAGTGGACGCCGGGCAACATTACGAATCGCGACGTCATTAACAGCGGCAAGGAGGTGAGAATTGTGGACGAGAAGGATATCGCGCTTCAAGGGTTTGATCGGTTGGAGAGGACTGGACGCCCGCTGGTGCCGGATTTGATTGTTTGCTTGAATCCCAAGGAGAACTACACCATGCTGTACGAGTGCGGACTGGCCAATGTCCCGACGATTGGTGTCATTGATACAGACGCGAACCCGGATTGGGTCACGTACACCATCCCCGCCAACGACGACAGGTGAGAGCATTTTCCAACGCCCCCCCACCACAAGACTGTTCCATTGACTGATCATGATACCAAAAACGTAGCTACCGATCCATCGCCGTCATCGCAGGTGTGCTCGGGCGTGCGGGCGAGGCGGGCCAGAAGCGCCGGCTCGCGGCCGCGGAGAACGGCGTGTCGGAGTGGAATACGCCCGCGGAGACTAAGCGGTTCATGAAGGGCGAAATACGAAAGTGGGAGAGGGAAATGCGTCGTTGGAGGACCGACAATCAGAACGCGGCGGATGCGGGCGGCGAGGTTCGGTTGCTTGAGATGCTTCAGGTTGACCGGACCAAAGCTGTTGATGGCGAGCTTTGATTGAGCAGGCCAGAGCGGTGAAGGGCCGGGCAAGGGTCGGGAGGAGAAGAGAAAGAGAAAGGGCAAAAAAAAAAAAAAGGTTTCAAGTCCAGGGGGAAGATATCTGTCCTTGGACTCTTTGTACTAGACACAATAACCAATGTATGAACATGTACCAGTATTTCTATAGAAATTCGCCTAGCAGCTTTCGACAGGCGTTTGTCACTAACTTGAGAAGATGAGTATAATAGTGTGAGTGTATAATTTGGGAGTCTTGAAGGTATGAATGAAGCTATGGTCCATCTTAATCTTGGTATGACAAGCAGGGGGGAGGCAACATTTTGGACGAGGCTTTCTGGCACTTGGCAGGTTCGAGTGGTGCTTTGTCTGCCTGGGGTGACTCGTATCCCTGGGATGGATACGGTAATGCCAAAGGTACCTAATTCAATGTGGTATGGATTTGATGTGAGATGGAGTGTGCTTCTCTTCAACTGCCTCTTTGTGACGGGTTACTGCGTTGTTGTACGATAGACCCCATATAGGGAGTATGTTACGATGCTACTTGCGATTGATTGCTTCCAGATTTACAACAAAACACCTTACAACAATGCTGCTATCAGCAAGTTGGCAGTATGCATACCTTTTTCTATGGCAGCTAGCCACCGCCTACCACCTGATAGTACCACTCTTATGAAAACATGGCCAAGTGGCTTTTCGGGGTTTGATCAGAGGACGCTGGGCCCCCAATTTTGCATGACACTGATTGTTTATCAGCTTCCCACCTCCTATCAACATCTGGATTCAAGGCGCATTCATGCGATTCACCTTTGGTCGATACATCAGATGTGGGTGGGTGGCGTTGAACAGAGTGAAATAAAGCTGAGACACTCTTTAGCTTATGATCAATATTTAAATAGAATTAATCTCAAAATCCATGATCATCATGGCCTATAATACCTAAGATAGACGTCACCGAGTGTCCTGGGTCACAGTAGAGGGAAGAACGTGGTCAGCCACATTGTGGCGCTTACAGTGAGAGTGCTTGCTTACATAACTCTATGATCCCTATGGTCATGTTGAAAACTTCGCACCTGCGCATTTCCCCTCCCTCCTTAAACCCCCCTCAGGTCCAGAAACCATCACCAACGAACATTTCAGCACGTACAAGCAACAGCACAGCTCCGACTCCCACACCCCGCCAAGGTCAGGCATTCGTGCATGCTAGCTGTGGTGTCATCGCAAGCTGAAACGCAAGGCGGTTCCTTATCCGATCGTAACCAAGTGCAGCGCAAGCCACTACCGCGAGGTTGTTTTTTGACTGCATTTACGGAAACCGGCTCCTTGGCCAAAGGTTTTTTTCTTTCTCCGGCTTGCTGTTGGGGAGTCAGCAGAGTCAGATCAGATTCGGTAGGCTTACTTGCAGCCTTTCCTTACAAATCAACCTGCGTTTCCTCCCCCTCCTTTGGCTCCGTTTTAGATATCGGATATCAAGAGGGGCTCGAGGGATAGAAAGAGGGGAGCTCGTGCAGACTCGAGTTTGGGATATCCGCATATTTCTTATTGACCGCTGCTTCCCTCTGCTATACTGTGAAATGTTGACTAACTGTGGACTTGTTGGTACAAAAGTCGGTATCGCGAATTAGTCGTCGCAAACGGCAACAGGAGCTCCTACCCCCCGTCACCCCAACGCGGAGCTTTGTATTGGAGGAGGCCCCTGCACTGCCGATCCACCCGCCGAGTCAGTACCGAGAATGCCGGCCATGCTAGATGACCCGGCAAGCCCCACCATTTACCGAGTGTCCGGGACAACGCCGTATCCGGACCCGATGAAGCCCGAGCTACCGGCCGACATCGTCCCGCGTCAAGTGACACTTCGCGATCGTCAGACCGTCGCCACAATCATTCCCTTTGCATCGCGCCATGAGGTGCCCCAATCCCTGGTGCGCTACCTCAGCGACCAACTCAACAAGGAAATCGAGGGCGGCGACACGTACCCGATGATGGAGACCATGACCGCCGACAAGTTTGGCGCCTACTGGTTCCAGAACTTTGGCGCCATAATGCTCCTGGGCAACATTGAACATGCCGATCTCACCAATGACATGGACTGGTCCAGGGAGTGTCTCGGGAGCTTCTACATCAAACCTAACTACCCCGGCCGCAGCAGCCACGTGTGCAACGCAGGATTCCTCGTCACCGACGCCTCCCGCAACCGCGGCGTCGGCCGCCTGATGGGCGAATGCTACATTGACTGGGCGCCCAAGCTGGGCTACACCTACTCTGTCTTCAACCTCGTCTACGAGACCAATGTCGCGTCGTGCAAGATTTGGGACGCCCTGGGCTTCAAGCGCATCGGCCGCGTCAAGGGCTGCGGCAACCTCAGCTCGTACCCGGGCACGCTCATCGACGCCATCATCTACGGGCGCGACCTCGTCCCCGGCGAGTCGGAGGATCTCGTGAGTGAAGAGCGTTTCGAGAAGATCAAGTTTTACCTAAAGTACGGACGGTATCCGGCGGGTGCTGACCGCGCCGAGAAAAGCAGGCTCCGGAGCGCGGCGACGCATTATAAGCTGCTCGAGGTGGAGGGCGGCGGCGACCGGCTGATGCTCAAGGACAAGGAGGTCGTCCCGGACCCGCGGCGGCAGTACGAGATTGCGCGCGAGGTCCACGCCGCGGGCCACGGCGGCATCAACAAGACGACCGCCACCATTGCCGAAAAGTACCACTGGAGCCGCATCAAGGAGACGGCGAGCGACGTTATTAGGAACTGCTCCGAGTGTAAGGAGCTCGGCAAGACGCCTGTACCGGGTGGTAATGGGGGCGCCAAGGGGAGGTCGGCGGCAGCGTTGGCGGCGGCGGCCGCCGCTGCTGCCGCTACCGCACCTGCACCAGCCGGCCCGACGACCACAGTTTCCTCCCTGAACAATTCCTTTCATCACAATCATTCTACATCACCGCCACCGCCGCCACCCCCTTCCACAGTCATCAGCGCCGCAGACCGCGTCCTCTCGCTCCAACACCAACACCAACACCACCACCTCCCACCCCTCTCGCCACCACGGTCCTCGCCCTACGCGGAAGTCACCTCAATACCACCGTCCCACACCCTCCGCGACCCGTCCGCGTCGCCCTTACCGCGCCATCCGCACCACAACCCCATGTTACAAGACGAATCTTTCCAGCCCATTGACCCGCAAATCATTGGCGGGCCACCGCCGACGTCGCATCATCATGACCCGTATAACCCCTATCACCCGCACCATACCGACTTCCAGGCGCTGCTCAACGCGACGGAGGCGGAGGAGGATGAGGAGGAGACGGCGGAGGAGGCGGCGGCGGTGGATCGGGATTTGGATATGTTGATTGAGCAAGGGGACGACGATGACGAGGGCGTGGATGGGGATACGGCGATGGGGGAGAAGGATGGGAGGGACAAGGACGTGTACTCTATAGGGGTTATCATGGGGTGGCGGGAGGGGGTGGGGGGGGGGGGGGGGGGGGGGGGGGGGGGGGGGTGGGGGGGGGGGGGGGGGGGGGGGGTGTTGGGGGGGGGGGGGGTGGGGGGGGGGGGGGGGGGGGGGGGGGGGGGGTGGGGGGGGGGGGGGGGGGGGGGGTGGGGGGGGGTGGGGGGGGGGGGGGGGGGGGGGGGGAGTTGTCATCTATTCTCTGTGACTTTACATACATGATAGGCAGGCGTGTCAGCAATTCAGACGTTATTCACATACACGAGCACCCAGCCTCTGCGGTGTTCCTCTGCCATCTCAACTGTGGGCACGGAGCCGAGCGCCGGCCGGATGGCAGCTGGTGGGTTACAATCGGCGGGGGGCCGGGGGCGGGTCACATCCGTTCGGAAGGTGGCGGGGCGCACTAAAAGCCGTGCCAATCTCAGTAGGGAGGTACTCCGTAAAGCTTTTGCTTTTATTCTCGGTCAAATCTAGTTTAAAATGAAGAGCGGCGAAATGGCACAGGTATATGTGGCCGTCATAAGGCAAGGGCAGAGAGAAGTTTTCTTTTTTTTTTTCGTTTCCCTTTGGAGGAGTCGACGTCTTGTCGGTTGTCCGCTAGTACTTGGCAACTCTATGCTTTTGTGAGAGTTTTGTTTCCTTGCGTCAAGCTCTCGTCAAAGTGCGAGGCTTTGACGATTCGTGGGGTTGTGTGCCGCGCGAGGGACGGACGGGGCGAACATCTTTTGGTCTCATCTTCTGACGGAAGCATCCTGGACAGGCGAGAGACAGGGGTTTGCCAAGACTTAAATTTCGGATCTGGTATACGTAAGGATTGCGCAAACTCTAAACGCTTGAAACCCCGTTCGGGTGCTGGCTTGGACTTTTTCTTTCTTTTGGCGTGCTACCTTGGGAGTTGCAGGACTTGGGTTGACAGAAGGGTTGACAGAAGGATAACGAGTGAGGGTGTTGAAGTCCACGCGCGGTCGGTCGTAGGCCCCAAGTCAATGGGGTAATGGGGTTTGCAAGAAAGAAAGAGGAGGGTTCGTTAAGTCTCGGGCATATGGCTTCCCCAATGATAGACAGCTTCGCTCAGCGATCGACGGGTTGTACTCTGTACGGATAAGTCCTTCATTATCTGCCGGCAGGAGCGATAATGCCATGTTTTTATGGACCATTCCGTCTGGTTCGTGCTTCCTCATGCAGCTCCATTCCTGATTCCGCTCAAAACTACAGATAAGCCTGTCGAAAGCAAAGACGTACTGCACACGACGTCAATGGGATCCCCGCGGTGCGCCGGCTCTGCTCGGCAGGGCTGACGACGAACAGCCTTACTGTCCTCCTTCAACTGCTTCGCCCACCGCACTTGATACGGTTCCTTTTTTTTCCGCATAGTCGGCGGTGCTTTCAGGTCTGAGCAGGAGGGCCACCTCATCATCCCAACTCATCCCAGCTTCAGCCTTCAACTCCAGACGGCACCAGACTTCACATACATATATTTAGAAACCTTCTTTTCGAAAGACGCGCGGCCACCCGATTGGCTGGCCCACCAACATCGGACTCAGTTCTGAAACTGCATGTGTCTGCCGACGACCTGCCGTGCCGTGATGTGTCTTTTTCCATCGCCCGGGATCGCCTTGAACTCTGTTTCGTCGTGGCTTTCTTTCCTTCACCGAGCCTGTGTCGGTACATTTGCTTTTGCCTGGCACGCCTGGCACACCTAGCTACCACGTCTTACCTCCCTCCCAAACCCACCCCTCCCCAAGATCCAGACTCCGCGCGCGGGGTGAAGCAAGGAGGGACAGACACACACACACAGAGCGAGAGAGAGAGGGAGACGGATTGCGACGAACCCGGCCGTGAGACGGGCGTAACCCTGCGACTTTCATCCTGCCGAAACTTGCGACGCCGTGCCAAAAGGCAGCCTACGCGTACGTCTCGTTGTCCGCTTTGCTCAGCTGACGGACCACCACAGAGGCCCAGGCCGCCCAGAGATCTGGACGGTCAGAATAGGGGACGACTTGATGCAGATTGGCGGGGATTTCTACACTTCACAGCCTCGATCGGCCGAGGCCAGCAATTTGTTGTTTCCCGATTGCGACTTTGTCGAGTCAAGGGAGGGGGAGGCCCCGAGGTAGGGTGGGTAATCAAACAAGGTTGTACTAAGGTTATATAGCGCAATCGGTAACCACGAAATTTCCCACGGCTCCTCTTTTCGACAGTGTCATTAAACTTATCAGCTTGTCTCTAATACAGCAGCACACAGCTAGCCTCTCTTTATCAACACATTCGCTCTCAGTATCGATCCTTCGTTTTGCAAACTCGACAGGCCCAACACGTAAACACTCACACACTCACTCTGTCTACACATCAAAACAGACAATACACGAATCAGTCGAGATGAAATTCACACTGCTCACACTCGTCACCGTCATCGGCGCAGTATCCGCCATCAGCGTCGATGCCGGTCTCATCAAGAGACAATGCATTGCCAAAGGAGGTTAGTTTGCTGTCCCTACTTCCCATGAGCTGCCGTGACATACGTCTGCTGCATCCACGATCTTCCTGCTGACAATATCCAATTCCCAGGTCTCTGCTCCACCAGCACCACAGAAGTTAACAAGCCGTGCTGCGGCGGCCTCGTCTGCAACACCGACCCCGCGCGCAACAACGCCAAGTGCGGGAAGAAGCCCGTGGAGAAGAGGAGCATCGACAGTGCTGCATCCAAGCCTCTGAGCATACTGCGGGCCATGCCTGAAATTCCTCGCGATGAGCCTATTTGGGGATAGTGGTACCCATTGGGAGGGGAACATGCTGAAAGAGGAGGATTCCAACTTGTCCCTTACTTTGGCCGACAGCGTATGATTATGGGGGGTTTTTATTTTCTTCAACTCAACCGCCATGGAGGCTTGGTTGTTTGCTGGCTTTTAGACTTGATACCAATTTTCCTTGGCGTTTTGAGATACCAACTTCGATATCATTCATGAAATTATTTATTTTGTTCTTGAATCAAGTCCCCGGTGATTAAGCATTGTGGTGAACACCCGGAAAGCCTGAAGCATAGGGTCGAACCAGTTGGAACTAGGCTTTAGCTGACATTTCGTCACAACGGGAACAAGCAAAGGCGGATGTGGATGTGCTGGGAGTTTTGACAATGGATATTTCAAGCCACTCGCGGAGGTCTAGAACTATTGTTATGAAATAGAGCCAGACGGCCCAAACCTAGAAAAGTGGTGCCTTAACCTAAGCACGAATCGAAGGTGTACGTAGTACCTTAGGACAAATGTACGCGTCAAATGAGCACGTAGTTGAAGATCGACGGCTAATGCCGGACTGAGATGAGTCCATGTCTACTAAAAACCTTATCTTTTTCTAATGTGATCATTTTTTCTTACATTCCCTCCCGTCATAGTGAGAATAAAATTGTTGGAATTGAAGACTGAAGCATGATGATCAACGACGATATTCATGCAATTTACCTAAGAGGAAGATAAACAAATGTCCCGACAGTGCCATAATCCAGTTTCATGAGGGATATACTTTCAACAATGTTAAACCACAATAATTGAATGGATTGATATTCTGTTTCTTGAAGATATCTTGTCTCCAAAAGATCATTTGCGTAATGCGTCACTGAATCAGAGTAGTTTGGCAAACATGCCCCCAGCTACTTAAATCAACGTTGAATCAAAGCAAGTCAGAGACTAGAGAATAGTGAACTTCGGGTTTTCACTTGAAAAATTGACCACCTATGATCTGGGTCTTTCGATGTGGCCCCTCGTCAGGATCTATTGTCCCAACCCTTACGCAACGGATACTTGTTGTTGGTATCCGTATCACAGGATAGCTGGTTTGGACCGTAGTTCTGAGGGGTGACGAATGGTCAATTGACTGTATATTGATTCTCTGCGTGGGTTCGAAAAGAGAGGTTCTAGCCGTAGGTTAGCCGGTCAGTTGGAAGCTGACATCGAGACCCGTTGATGGTACCTGCGCTTGCCCTGACTCGAGGTCGATCGAATTGGACTTCCAATCCGACACTTGCATAATACTCACCATGAGTCAGGCACATATCCAAGAGTCGTTAGCGGTGGGCTAGCATGGCTCAATACACTGCTCATTCTTCAAACTGATAACAGAAGGGTTCTCTGACTGCGCACAACGTCGCAAACATGAAGTCTTGTACTAGCATCCTAGCATCCTAGCAGAGTCTGGCGAGTCTTTGAGAATGCCATTTCGTTGTGGAATTCTGTAATGACGTAAAACGCTCGTCCTTCTACATTTGAGTGTTTGGATCAAGTCTTTAGAGCATTTGAAATCGCATTGGTCGCTGAAATACCCTGAAAATGGGATCGCTATCTTGTCTATAGTCTATGTAATATACAGTATCCAAGTCTAATACGCGCTAAGAGCCACACACATCGAAGCTATTAGATTTCATGCGCATATGCCAATCTGTCATGGACGACATCAGCGAGGGATCAACATCTCTGTTAGCCTTGATGAAGACAGTCTCGTAGGGGTGAATATTGCTCCCGAAATATTTCTTGTCCCACAACAGGTCACCAGAATCCGGGTGTGTTTTGCAGTACTCTTCAACTCCTTCTTCAGAATGGAGAGCGGTCATCATGGCGTCGACTTTATAGCCGGCGTTCATGATCAGACTAGTGGTTCCGACCTCGGCGTGGACAGCGGCGTTCCAGTCCTTGTAACACCCGCTGAGACCGACGGGGGCGTCTTTGCTCCCGAATTGGTCGTCTACAGACGCAGTCGTTGCAAGTGTGGGATCCAGGAGGATGCCCATGCCGACGTCGTCCGTTGCGAAGATCATGGACTGAATGTGCAATCTGGGTATGCAGTTGAGGGTCATACCGACGAGCTGTAATAAAAATGTCTTAGAACCGATGTCATGTCGACTATGGCAATCTTTGAAACTTACCTTGGTTGTCTCCGTAACCTTGCTCAGATACAGGTCCGACCAGCAAGATGAGCTCCACGCGGGCAAGAATGGCCCTCGAATGCTGGCGTTCATCGTGATGAACCGCTTATACCTCTTCCACAAATCGTCCTTCCTCAGGACTTCGCCAATAGCACCCATGTCGAAGCAGGTGTTATCCCGCTTAACAATACTGATGTTTGGCAGGTCAGGGATAGTGCTAGACGCGTTCGCATCTCCGTTGAAGATGAAGACGAAGTCTGCGCCATTGTGGAGACCCTTGTCGACAAAGTAGTCTAGATTTGCCCGCGCACTCTCGGAGTCATGATAAGCATAAACGATGAGTGGTCTGTCTTTTGAAGACGCGCTTTGGTGCTCTGAAGTTGCCGGTTTAGACGAGGAGCCATGCGCGATGGATTCAGGGATCGCAGGCTTTTGAGGGGAACACCCCCCCTGGTTAGCCGCTGGGCCCAACAAACTCGATTGCTACGTATGGAATCGCTCCGGGGGAAAACACACCAGTTGGAACGGCAGGATCCACCAGGCCGATATCAGGAAGACGGCCGTGAGAAGGCCAATTTTCAGAGGCGTCCAGTGCACCCCGAGAGACGGCATTTTCGAAGCGCTTGTCATGGAGGAAAGTTCGGGGTTATGTCGTCCAAGGAGGAAAAGTACGCTTGGCCAACTCAAGGAGATTTGGGCTCAAGATAACGTGGAAGCGGCGCAGCAGGGAAAACTGGACTGACATGGAAGTGGATGACATGACTGCGGGTTGAGCTTCTGAGTGGTCGGACAACCCCTGTCATGTGGATGATACCAATAATAGGACCCTTACCCCCTGGCCGGAGCCAACGGAGAGTGCGTGTATGTGGCCGGCGCAAGCGCCACGGACGGAGAGTTTGTTGGTATAAGCGCAGACTGATATCTTTGGATGAAACTAAGTCATCGATATAAACTCGCGTAAGGTATATAGGTTGAGGCCAACACCATGAAAGTGTCGATATAATCATCGTGATCTTTTTTTGAAGAACTTGCATCATCAATGTTGGGGGGTTTGATTCACGCAGCCCGTTTCATTCCCGAGAACCTCGCCTGTGCTCTTCCAGGCAACAACATGTCAGATTTTAGGGCGCTTGCTTCGGGGCTCAGTTTGTAAAATTCTCGCTTGGCTGTGGGCGCCTCGCCTTCTGACTGCATCGAACCCCTGAAGTGAGGCACTGAATCTGGCAGATATGTAGGGGTCGCTGCACATATTCGGTAAAGCCTGATTTTCTGGCCCGCAGCTGAGCGAATCACGCGTTGTAGTTCTCGTCGTTGATACAACTCGAAATTGATAAGGATGGTGTGAGACGCTGCCGTAGGATTCTGGTGACTTTGGCGACCTTGTTAATGTTCGTTAAAGAGTTCACCCTAGTCTGATGTGCCATCGTGGTGTTTTCCCCTTCTGTGTTTATTGTTGTTCTCAATATCAAGGCTGAGCCAATGTGAATATTTCAAAAACCTCACGATGTCTTTAGTCGTAAGTTCAATGTCCACCAACAACCAGCGCGAGACTATTGAGCGCTTGCGTTACACGATCGTCTAGATGGGTGACTAAACCTTTGTCTGACAATCAACAGGACCGTGAAACCCAACCGGGTTTTCAACCCCATGAACAGCCCGGCTTGGAAGTTGTACCACACGAACAGCTAGAACACTCGCAAGACTGGTCCGGACTTCAGGCCGCAAATCCTTCTTCTCTAGACAGCGGAAAGGAAGCAATTTCTGGCCATAACGATGCGGGAAAAACACACGTGGTTCCGAATCAGATAGAACTCGGAGGACCTACATTTCAAGGTGCACCAGTGCCAAAAAGACGACTATGGTTTATTGTTGGAGGTATTGCGTTCGCCCTGGTGACTGCAGCGGCCGTTGTCGGAGGTATTCTGGGAAGCAAAGCAGCGAAACATTCACAAGGGGAGTTTTCGTTGCCAACGAGCACACCGACTCCCACTATTGTCACCAGCCCCACAACTAGACTACAATCGATACGCCAGGGGTCGCCACTGACCATCACTGGATGGAGTCAGTCTGGCGGAGTCGAGATGTTCCTCTTTTACCAAGATCATGACAACCAAATTCAGCGGTCAGTATACGACACCAGTGGGACATCCGCCGGGGGGAACTCGTCATGGCAGTCACCCCAAAAGTTCAACTCTTTTGCTAGTGCGGATACTCGCTTGGGAGGAACTATCATTCAGTATAACACCTCATACAAGGTGGGCAGTTCTCAGTCGGCATTTGAAGTTCTACAAGGACAAGTGCTGACAAACAGTCGTTATAGCCACAAACCGAACTTTATTACACGAACTCTGATGGTCGTGTCCTTGGCGTCAGCATCAACGATGAGCTGAACCCCAGCTACGAAGAGGATAGCATCAAAAGCCTTGCTCTAAGCTCCCGAGTCAACAGCAGTGTCGCCGCATATTGGCCTTGGTTTATATACCAGGAGGTTAGTGGTGTAATTGTTGAGGTGCGGAACCGTCTTCTGGACGAGTTTGCACCGGCAGCCGAATGGGACACGAAGAGACTCAACGCGATAGCCGATGACGACAGCCGGCTGGCACTGGTTCCGCTATCGACCAACTTCGACAAGATGGCCGTGCAAGGAGGCTACGGGATTTTCTACCAGGTTGACGGCGGGTTGGTCGCGCTTATACCGGACCTTGGATCCGATCAACTCGCTAAGGATTATGCAGACTCATGGCCTACAAGTATGTTGCATTCGCTCTTGTACTATAACCTATTATATAAGCTAATACCCATCGAGACTTTCCAGCTGTTAAGAACATGCCGAAGGGCGCGTCCTTGGCTGCATTCTCCGTTGCCAGAACCTCCGATTCCCTGCAGAGAGTGAACACGTATGTCCTTTATCTTGACAGCGATTCGAATATCAGCGTCATCTACAGCGATTCTTCCTCCTGGCAAACCGTCCAGCCAGCTGCCATGAAGGGTGTCGATCCCGACACAGACATTGCCTGTCTGACCATGGCAATTACGCATCTCGACTCTTTACAGCAAGAGGTTCTACTTGGAGAATATCCTTTCGATGCGAGGTGTTACTTCCAACGTGAAGGCTTAGTGAGAGAAGTGATATTGAGTAATAATGAGTGGACGGATAGTGGAAACGTACCTATACCGTGAAGAACTTCGAACAGACACGTTATACATGTTACATAGAGAGCATTCATCAGCGACAATTGACTGCCATAGTCTAGAGATAGAACTTATCCTTGGTTTTAGTACCTAATTCAGAAATAGTAATGTCATGGACGCAAACAATCTCGAAGTTGTTTTCCGTGCCCTCAGCTGGAGTAAACAGCGACACGAATTTTACATTTCCGTGGCAGTGCCATTAAATCTCCCACCGTAATACGAGAGCATAAAGATGAACATAAAATAGCACATGACAACATTGGAGATGCGTATGACTTAAAGAGGGCTTGAAAAGAACCGGGAACAAACAAAAATATCTTCGGATCCTTTGTCAAGCCGTGAAGACGGATTGATTCATGATATATCAAACTTCTAATACACTGATCAAAAATACTAACTGAGGTTGATTCTTTAATAAACGTGCGTCGTCCTCGATGGTAGCTATAGAGTACTCTATTAGATGGAAATGGATCTTGCTATTTCACTCAGTCGGCGTAATCTCTTTTGGACTGACTGATTAAGTGCGCATGGCGAATTCTATTATACGGTTATACCGAAGGTACCCAGGGAACATTGTGTTGATGCTTACCTTCCTAGTCTCAACTCCTTTGGAGAGCTCGAAAATCAAAACTTGCTTGTTTAGTGTTTCACTCAAGCGATAGCGAGAACACAACCGATGCCTTTCAGCTTGACAATCATTTTGTCTCATCATCAGATCTTGAGAGCTACGTCTCGATTTCGCTACAACTTTTGTACCAGGCAATGATATATTTTGTGCTTTGAGTGCCTTTATCTACCAACAATGTCGGAGATAAAACATGCAGTTAGTCAAAATAGATGTATCGCAGTTGACCGATCCAGAACTTGATCCAAATATACCCTCGTCAACTCCAGAGTTCCGTTTGCCTGACACTCAAACACTTTGACCTCGGGCTCTCAGAGAGGCAATAAGAAGAATCTCGGCGCCTTAAATTGCAAGACGTTACATTTCATAAAGATTTCCGCGCATTACCTGTGAAGACACTCAGCTACATACGGCACCGCCGATGTGCTCACATCGTAGCCGATGATGACTGCTGTTGAGGCCTCACGTGAAACGGACAATCTCAAGCTCAAGTCACGTGCTTGCCTCATTTCTCTACCAACCGAGTCTCTATTCGACCTACCAGACCATGAACGTTGTCATTAGTCCATAAAGTTACTGTTAAGACCACATCCCATTCATTAGGACGTTGCTCCATTTGCGGCACTTTTCACCCTCTTGGCTGAGCCATCGGGGATAAGGCGCGCCACGCAAGCAGGGGAAAAACTCAAAAACTGGCGTCCTAGAGTGCCATCGGACGAACTCTTCACAGCTGAAAAGGCGTACACTAGCGCTTAGCATCCACCAAGCTTAACAAACTGCTGGGCCAGGTACCATTTCCCACACCCCCGGCTCAGCACTTCAGGAGGTCGGTCCGGGACCCCCCTTTCTCCCCATCTTCGACCCGTCACTTGCGGGAGAGATTTGAGAGCTTGCTCCTCTTTTGGGTAGGCTTCGAGAATGCCCACGTATCTCTTACGGAAGAGCAATCACAATTCAGGAGGTCTTGCTGAGGCTGTGCCGTACTGTGCGCGATGGATTTTTTTCTTCTTCATTGGCAGCATAAGCAAATGTCAAGGAAGCGGATGGGGAAACCGACCATTCGATAAGAAGGCAGGGCAAATGAGGAAAGATTGGGCTCAGCGAGCATATGCGAGCAAAAACCAACACCCCCAACGAAAAACTTGGTTCCAAGTTTACACATGGCACAGCTGACAGCGGTAGTCGACCTCCGCACCGGGTAAGGCATCTTCAACCCGTGGCAAAATCGCGCCGAAAAAAAGAACGAAGATCAGAGATGATCAGGGACAAGTTCGAGGCCCTACACTAGGTTCCTCTCTGTGGATGACGCAAGAAGCATGCGTGCCTGAGATGTTGGTGGGAGACCGGGGGGGTCTAGAACCTTTTTTTCGGCCCATTGAACTTTCCAAAGGGCAAAAGGCAAAAGCTGAGCCGTCCACTGAGCGAGAATGGACGCGTTCCTGGTTCACTGTGGGGGGAGAATTGTAGTAAACAACCCGCCGTGACACGTACGGCGGTATAGAAACTGACGCAGTCCAGGTTCTTTTTTTTTTTTTTTTTTTTTTTTTTTTT